GCTGTAGCAATCCTTTTAAAAATGCTATAGAATTGCTGTAGCAATCTTTTTGAAAATGTTTTAGGATTGCTGTAGCAATCTCTTTTAAAATGCTGTAAGATGCTGCAGCAAATCTTCTTTTAAAAATGATGTAGGATGCTGCAGCAAATCTTCTTTTAAAAATGTTGTAGGATTGCTGTAGCAATCGCCCCTTTTTCTATTTCCGAAACTGTGTTTGACAGCCCGTCCATTTTTGCAAACTGGCTTCAAACTTGCTTTTAGAGTTAAAATTGGGTTTTGTCATAGTCATAGAAAATGTTCAAAGCATCGAGGGCTATAAGTTCAAGCTTTGAAACATTGAAAAATCTCACTCTAGGGTTATTATTTTCGCGTTCAAAGTAACCGGAAATTTTTCCTCTACCCGGAAATAAGCAAACTTAAATCAAGCATAATCATACCACATTAAACTAACCTCATAACTCACAAAACCAACATAAAACTCACACACCCTTATTACAACACATCTTCCTCAAGAACCACAAATTTACATCCATAAATCCAAGCTTAAAGTTGGCTAGAAATTAATGGAGAAGAGTTTGAGAACTTACCCTTGAAGAACTCTCTCTCTCCCTTGAAAACCTTTGAACTCCTCTAAGATTTGTTAATGGCTTGGAACTAGAAAGTATAAGAAAATTTAAGAGGAATATTTCTACATTTCAAACTTTACTTAAAACATAAAAAGAGAGAGTTTAGAGTTTCCTTACCCTTGGAGGAATGATTGACTAATCTCCTCCTAGACCCTTTGATCTCTTTCTTCTTCTTCTATGGTTTGCTAGTGGCTCAAGATTGGAAGAGTGGAGGAAAATATTTGAGAGGAAATGTTGTAGGGTGGCCGGATTTTTGAGTGGGGAAAAAGCTAGGAGAAAAAAAATGAAAGCTTATCCTATGTTGGTTCCTTTTATAGGCAACTTGGAAATTATTTTTTTAACACCAATTCCACTCCATCATTCAACCAAATTTTTAGTTAAAGTCCCCCTTTCTTGGCCGGTTTTGGAAGGAGAAAAGAAGAAGCAACTTTGCCATTAATTCCCCTTCAACCACTAACATCACATCACCTTAACATAAAGTCCTCTAGTTTCCCTTTGAAACTGATAAAATTATACTGACTATAAGAAAGTAACTTAGCTGACAGGAATTCATTTCCATTTCTGACGGTTCCTTTTTCTACTGCTTATTTACAGTTAAATGTTAAATCCTTGACTGCTTTGGATATCACATTAAATTCTTATTCGCGTAATATCTTGAACTATTTCCAGTCTTGAAATTAATTCTAGACTGAACAAATTCTAAATTTAACTTTCCTGCGTTAATTCCCGAAAATGACGTTGTTTCTGACGGTGTCAACTCCCGAGTTCACATTGTACCCTTCTACTATGGGTATTTATCTTCTAACTTTAACCTAGCTGTCTCGCAATTAAGGATTTTCTCTTCTTTTAAAATGTGAGTGCATTTTTTTTATACGCTGCTAACATCATGCTGTGTTTGGAGATTCTTGAAATTAAGATTCTCAAACTATACTTGTACTGAAAATTATTCTGCCTTAAAGTACGGCGAGAATTTATCGATCGAATTTACTTGATCGAAAACATGAACTTAACATGAAATCTGCTATAGAATTTAGGAATACATATATTAATTCCATAAATCCTTCAGTCACATAATATTTATCTAAGAAAATTCTTGGCTTAAATACATAAATTGTATTATTTAAGGTCTGGGATTTTCTCAGTCATTACATAATGTGTGGAGACTTAAGGGTAGTTTTTATTTTTATGATAAGTTAAAATAGAAATACCAAAAGATAACAGAGAAGTTATCTATATATAGTGGTTATAGTCTCCAAATCGCACGTGACATTCTATTCTTTTTGACATCCCATCATCAAAAAGAGTACATAGAGAAAGTTAAAGGGTTCTCTAAGAAAACGTAGTGATCTGAAAGACAAACTGCACGACTCTAAAGAGAAATCAGTTAATATGAATTCAGGTACGCTTACGCTTACAGATTTATTAATTCTTGATGATCTAACATGAATGTTCTTAGCTTTTAGGTGATGATTTTCACCAAATCATTGAATCTTTACATTGTTGCCTTTTTATTCCTTGTGAAGTGTACATCTTTTTTATGGTTCATTGACGTTTATTTGAGCAGAGACTTAAAATTTCCCGTTGTGGTTCAGTTTTGGGTACTAATATCGCAACGGTTTCTTCCAGGAGGCTTAATCCAGTTGAATCATGGAAGACCTCAGCCTCTTCTGTATGTAGTCAATACAGCTTTTCTGGCGACCCTCTTCAGTGACTATCTTGATGCTGCAGATACACCTGGATGGTATTGCGGACCCGATTTCTATTCTACCAATGTCCTGCGTGATTTTGTGAAGACTCAGATGTCCATACTTAATTCTGCTTACCAATTCTACTCGCTAATAGAAGCTCATATTGGAAAATAATGACAGTTGACTTATTGTGTTGTTACTTTGTTGTTTTGGCAGATTGATTACATCCTTGGCAATAACCCTCGGAAAATGAGTTATCTAGTTGGTTTTGGTAGTCATTACCCAAAACATGTCCGCCACAGAGGTGCTTTCATCCCCAATAACGAGATCAAGTATAACTGTAAAGGAGGTTGGAAATGGAGGGACACGAAGAAGCCAAACCCTAATGTGATTGTTGGAGCCATGGTTGCTGGTCCCGATAAGGATGACGGTTTCCATGATGTTCGTACTAATTACAACTACGCGGAACCAACTCTTGCAGGCAATGCAGGTTTGATTGCAGCACTTGTCGCGTTGTCTGGTGAAAAGAATGTTGGGGATAAGAGTGCTATTTTCTCGGCGGTTTCCTCAATGTTCCCCGAGTTCACCACCACCACCTCCGTCGCCTTGGAATCCATGAGATGCTACAGCGGTCCTGATATCTCGTCGTTAAGAATGTTGTGTGACTTACAAACTGTAAAAATAATAATTTGAAATAAAGTAGAGAAATGGAGTGATGAGGAAGAGTCGAGGCCCGTGTTTTACATGGTGTTCTTAAAGCAGATTCCCCCGCCGTCAGTGCGAGAGGTTTGTTCTACGTCCGCCTCTTAAGATACAACGACTCATTAGTAGGAAGGTTGCACAACAAAGCTGCTTCCAGTGAACCGAATTATGTCTTCACTCTATCACACCAAGAGCCTAAAGGACACTAGAGCAAGTAAGATTTTCTGAGTGACATAGTGCGTTGAAATGAGAAGAGGAGGGTTCCTTTTACAGGGCTCTCGGAGGACATATGACCACTAATTTAGAATTAATTAGAATTAACCTGAATTAATTGAAACGTTAATCTGCTGTTACTAACATTTTTATTCTCAGAATTAATTCACGACTTAATTATGAAATTAAAACGTTATAGCAGTTTTTAAATTACAATATTCAATTTAGATGTCAATTTCTCACTCACCGTGCGTCATTGAGTATATGAATATATCTATTCAATCTCCTCTTGGTGAACATAAATCTATATCGACTCATTACTAACACAAAATGTCATCTATACAAAATCAAGTCTCAAAATGATACCTCAAAATTAGATTACCACGCCAAGGTCCCGTTCATTTTACCGATTCGAGTTTAGAATTTGAGTTTTACTACAGTAAAAAGCTTTCAGAAATAATCACATCTAACTTTTTTGTTATAATAAAAAACTCTCACATAAAGTCACATCTTAACTCAAATTAAAAACTCGAATCAGCGAACTAAAAACTTGCTGCAGTGGTAGTGTTTGAGACTCGAATAACCTTGACTGTAAAGAGCAGTGCAATCTAAAAAAAACAAAAACAAAAACAATTTGTATTCTTTGAAACACTGGAATCAAACAGTTTGAAATTGTTGATTGCTAAATTTCAATTAATACTCTTGTGGCAGCCTGTTCTTTGGTTGTTTTTCATTCTCTATCCGATGCGGTTTTGTATTCCCATTGCCAAGTGATTTTCTTGTTTCCTTCATACTCAGAATCTCTAACCAAACTAGAAAAAAAAAATATATATATTGAACTTTGAAGTATAGAATCCTTGTCGTACTAATAGTTTTGGTAGCAGAGTTCATTTGAATTATGGGCATTACTAGACTAAGCAAATTCAGAGCTTGATTTAAATTTTAAAGTTCTTTTCCACTTGGATCAAAATTAGAGCTTTTTCCTATTCTTTCTTGTAAAGTGCAAACTATGTACATATGTTACTTAAAGGGGCAGTCATTCTCATTAGATTTTTTTTTTCCCCTCCTAATTTACTTCCTTCTCATACTTGCCAATGCCATATTCCCTTCTTTTACGGTTTTGGAATATATGCCATTCTTTACCCCAGAAAAATATATGCTTGGCCAGTTGTATAACAGTTAGATATTCCATTGTAGGTGTCAAATAAAAAGACATCATTAACTTGGGCATTCATCTTAAGCTGCAGCCATCAAATTTGGGCGCAGAAAAATGTCTGAGGAAGAAGGCAGCAACTCTTTAGAGTATACACCAACATGGGTGGTTGCCGTCGTCTGCTTCGTCATCGTTCTCATCTCTCTCTGCGCCGAGCGATCGCTTCATAAACTCGGAAAGGTATTTTTGTGCTCCTCTAACTCCTTTGTGCATCTTCTTTCTTTGTCCTCCTTATGCCACAACTGTTAGTTGTACAAATATCCCTCTTTTGGGGTAATAATCTCATTCTTGAATTTGATATGTTAGATATGAGATGGTTAAGTCAGTAAAATTTGTCTCTTGACATAGTACTAGAGCCGCGAGATCAATACCCTTTTTTTTTGCTAGAAAAATGTTTATCACCACTTGTGAAGATCGTGAGATAATCATTACACATGTGTCAGCACATTAAAACTATCACGTATACAAGACAGTAAATTTATTTTTTGTCATATTTATTAATTTTATTTTACTGTCACACGTATTTTGATACGTCGCCGGAATGTTGTATTAAAAAAGAAACTTGTGATCCCTTAAAAAAAATAAAAAATAAACTTGTGACACTTGGTAGGAACCAAATGCAGCAGAATGCTCCTAATAAAACATTCTTGTAGGCAGATTGAGGACATGTCATGAACTTCTTAGCATTGTTGGCCGTTGGCAACCTTGATTAGGATAGCATCTTGAAAGCTCTCAAGTGTGGGAAAACAAAATTAAATGCACTAATAAAAAAAGAAAAAAGACACCTCATGGATCCACTTGGAGGGAAAAAATGTTAGATATTATCATGGTAGATTATGAGATTGAACATTGCACAATTACCATGAATATTGTACAGACTAATACCATTAAATTTGAAGTTGCTTGCATATACCTTATCATCCTAATAACATTTGATCAAAATTAGTGTCTGAAATTATCAAAATGCCCACAACAAACTTGGCCTTTTCCTATTTGTCATTCTTTGTCAGTACTGGGTTGAAAAACTCTGATAAAAGTTGTTCCAAGGTTGAAGGGGAAAAAAAAAAAAAACTACTAACTTAAAGGGTATTCTTGGCATTTAAAATATTTTCCAGTTTGGTCAATGAAGGGAAGATTAAGGAAGAAGAATTTTCTCAAAAAATTAAATAATAAACAAATAAATAAATAATGAAGAAAATGAAAGGGGATCATCTTTTTTTTTTTTTTTTTTTTTTTGAAAAAATGTTCTATAACTCAGCACCCACATTGTAGAGGTAAATACTCAATAATATCTTTCCATTTGTTAACGAGCCTTTCCATAATATTAGAACCCCATAAACTTTTTATTTTTTGGTAGAAAATAACTTTTTTTTAGAGCTTTTGCTCCTTTGTTTGTTAAATGAGCTTCCTTGAACCGTAAGTTAAAGCAACATGCCCCCTCCACTTGATTATCTTTTTCCCAATTATTTTCACAACTTATAATATGCAGCTGGGTCATGTTATTTGACCAAAAATGAGTCATTCACATTGTTTTAGATGAATAAAATTACTAGTTTCTCTTTTCAAAAAAATAAATAAAAACTAGTTTATATCAAGAAGAAAACAAAAAGAAACATTAGTTTGCTTTTGAAGGAAGAGAATTGGTACAATTCTAGAATTAGAAGCAAAAGTCCCAATTATACTCGTCCCTATAGAATACTTTCTTACCAATTATCTTCCACCATTTATAAAATACTGAGTGCCTTTTTTTTCTAATTTTGTTTTACTTTTTGTGATAATAAAAAGGTTTAAGGGTGACCAAGGTAGTGACCATAATAATCCTTTATCTGTTAGGGACATTAGATTACTTTTTTCTTTATTCGTTTGTTTCTTTCTTTTTATTTACAAATTTGCCATATTAAATACTAAAGATTGAATTGGATTGTATGTTTCCTTTTCCATCAATGAATTTTTTTTATTATATATTTGTTTTTTTTAATATAGGGTCTATGACACTCTTTTATTAATTTTTGAGAGAAACTCATAACGAAATTTAAACTCGCCACCCCACTCATTTATTAGTGTGCTTATATTCCATTCTCAAACCTCACGTATACGTCTGTTTCTTTATCGGGTCATTACCGTTGTATTGTGCTATTTGTTTGTCTACATCTGTTGGAATATAAGTTTCCGTTTTCCCATCCTTTGAGCTTGCGGGCCCCAACGGGCAAAATCAATAATTCTAATTCTTATTCGTTAGATTTCTTTTTCAATCCTATTAATTTTTTCATTAGTTTTTATTTATGATTTTGTAAATACGCTCTTAATGAAAAAAAAAATGTTTTTTTGATGGAATAAGTTATTAAAACATGAATAGATTCTAAACTAGATTGTTGTTCTGTGTTTGGCTTGGAAATACAGTTCTTGCATGGTCGGAAACAAGATGCGCTTTATGAAGCCCTGGAGAAATTAAAAGAAGGTAACATGTAAACTAGATTAACATGAATAGAGTCTAAACTAGAAAGATTTAATTCGAAAATTCTTTCCATTTTGTTATTTTCCCCATGAGATATAGCTGCATATATATCCCATCAAAACGCTATATATTATATATATGAACGAGTTTTCAATAGTTCTTATATACATTTCTCGGTCTTTAACTTTCATGTACATTTATCTAAGACTTGACTAATTTTGCTCTTGATGCTTGGTAACAGAATTGATGCTTCTAGGCTTCATTTCCCTTCTCTTAACCGTCTTTCAAAAATTGATAAGCAAAATATGCATCCCGTCTCACATTTCATATGACATGCTTCCATGCAAGAAGGCGAATTCCGCGAACGTCCATCATGGTCGCCGGCTTTTGTCTGCCGGGGCCGGCGCAGGGCATTGTAAGCCGGTATATCACATGCTTGAGATCTTTATCACTTTCATCTTCAATTTTTCAGGCCAATTTGTCCTGGAAATGGAGAACATCCAATATTAGAATCTACCTTTTTCTTTAAGTTTGATTATTCTTTGTGTTTCTTTTTTTTTTTTTTCCCTTAGTCGGACAACCCACGCATGGGATTTTTGTAACAACACAAAGTCCACTTTTAATGTCAGATTTAGACAAAATTAACTATGTGAAAAGGCTTTTTTTTTCTATATAAAATTGATTATTCTCAAATGAAAAAAAAATCAAAGTTACTACGTTTCAGATTTCTACTTTAGAGCACCGTTGTTTGTTTTATGAAGATTTTGGACAATTGATTTTGTCTAAACTCAAGAAAAATTGAATGTGATAATCATATCATTTTTGTATTAAACATGCACGGGGATTTTATTATTATTATTATTTTTATTTTTATTTAAGTGCATGAAGAGATCCGTTTTCACTTACATTTAAAACAAATTATTAATTTTTTCTTATGCCTTTCCTTTTTCATTCTCAGGGGAAGGTTCCATTTTTGTCACTGGAAGCATTGCATCACCTTCACATTTTCATCTTTGTTCTAGCAGTTGTTCATGTGATCTTTTGTGTCACAACAATGGTTCTTGGAGGGGCAAGGGTAATGATGTCTTTTCCGATACTTCTTTAGATTCTTTGTGTACAAATACGACGCTATCTAGTGTGGGGATACCTACTGGTAGTGCATATTTTTAAACGTCAAGAATCTGGCCGGAATTGACCCCTTTAAGGATTGAACTCAATCCAATCACGTCAAAATAAAAAAGTATACAAAACCGACTAAACCTAAAACAAATATGACCGGAGAGTATTTTTTTTTGTTGCCCTACTTGATAAAATTTTCTCAGGGTTTGGAGGATTCCATAGTCTAATCTAATATGTTTCAGTTTCACAAGTGCAGATACGCCAGTGGAAGTATTGGGAGGATAAAATCAGGAGTGACATCAAAGCATCTAAAAAGTGTAATGCAAACCAGAATTTCTTCAAGTCTTACCAAACATGTTTGAGGATTTTTTTTTTTTTTTTGCGCTCGTAAAAATTGCGTACATGAACGTTCATATTCGGATCGATCTGCAGCTCGATTCGGGCTCGACCACTTGCATGCTCGCATTCACCGTGATTTCTTCAAACAACATGCAGAGGGAAATTGGAGAAAAGCATCCCTAGTGAGATGGATGGTAAGTTAACAAACACTTACTATGCAGAACCTAATGCAACTCCAAGTAATCATGAAAAGATTTTTTTGAATATTATGAATGCATGTGTGTCAAAATTCTATGAAATTATTTCTTGGTACTTATAAAACTGAAATTTCGGTAATTTACCTTCTAACTTGCTAAATTGTTGCAATGTGCCCCATTTTAATGATGGTTGTGTTTAATCGATGACAAAACAACATGTTTGACTCAAAATTCTAAGGGCTTGTTCTTTTGGAGTTTAACTTGAGTATAATTCTTGAGTTGAATTTGAGTTATAACTTGAGTTGAACTTGTAACTTGAGTTTGTGTTTGGTTGTGTACAGTTGAGTTATGATTTGAGATAAGAATCTTTTTGAGTTTGTGTTTGAGTGAGTCAAAACTTGAATTTGTATTTAGATAGTATTTTAATAAAAACTCAATGCTGATGAAAAATTTTAATAGGATATATGATTCAGATTTTATTCGTCTTTTCGTTGTCAACGCATAGAAAAAAAAATCATCTCAATCAGAATTAAAACGAAAAAGTTATAACATTTTTAAGAATAGAAAAAATATTATTCATTAATTTGAGTTCGAGTTTCTGAACTCAAGTTGAAGGGAAAACTTGAACTCGAGTTTTAGTCATAAATTCAAGTTTGAACTCGAGTTTAAACTTAAAAGAACATGAATTTAAATAAAGTTGTAACTCAAGTTGTATTTTTTTGAGTTTTTCACTCAAAAGAACAAGCTCTAAAATTTCAATTCAAACTCTAACACAAATCTCTTGATTACCAACTCTCAAATTCAATCAAAATTCAAAGCAAATTGGATAAAGTATTTAGCAAGTTGGAGGGAGCAATTGCTAAAATTAAAAGTTCAGGAGTCAAGTTTCCAGAGTCAAACAAGCTTACGAGACAAAAGTGCCAAAAGCCCTTAATGTTTTGTCTGAGCTTTTTTAGTTTTACCCTACCAAGATTTTTTTTTTTTGGTTAAATGACCTTTATCAAGTTATACTGTATACATATATGTATATATGTATATAATGTGTCGTGAAAAAACAAAGTAGAACCGCAACAATAAGCTGAAAACTGCAGGAAAAAACCAGCAAGAAAGAAAAAAAAAAAAGGGTGTTAAATAATCAACTAACTACTGCAAAATGATTGTAAACAAAAGGTGTTAACAAATAAATTTTAAACAAGGCAACAAAAATGATTTCACAATTGCCCCTATCTGATTCTTTTTTGAGATCTTTCCAACCCAAAAATGCACAACATTTTTAAACTACAGCAAAAGTTTGTACTCATGACGATGGAAATGAGAGAGAATTTCTTATCCTTAAAATCTTGCTTTTAAAAAAATGATCGTTATTCTCAAAAGGGCTTTTTATGCTCCATTTGCAGGAAGCATTCTCCAAACAGTTTTATGGCTCAGTCTCAGAATCAGACTACATTGCACTTCGCCAGGGCTTTATCAACGTTAAATTCCTATCCATCATCACAATCCATAAGTTTTTCTCTGTGTTTTTTTTTTTTTTTAACAAAAATTTTATCTTTAACTTGTCTCTTGTTCATGACATTTCTTATCAAAAGGAGCACTGCCCCAGATTACCCGATTTCGATTTTCACAAGTACATGTTGCGGACACTCGAAGTTGATTTTCGAAAAGTTGTTGGCATAAGGTATGAATTATGAACAATTATTAGTGAGGTTTCAGTTGCCCTTTTTTCAATTTTGTATCTGAAGATGTAATTTCATCTTTAATTTTGTCAATTGACACTTTACAACAGCTGGTACCTTTGGCTCTTTGTTGTGCTCTTTTTGTTGCTGAATCTGGATGGTAAGTTTCTTTAAATTCTTAGTTGCACTTCTAATTTATGGGATCTTCCGATTATTCTCATGTGTAAAAAATGTTATGTGTAGGATGGCACACATACTTCTGGTTATCCTTTTTGCCATTGATTGTAAGTATTTTACATATTTAGTCTCGTCCGTTTCGCTCGTTTAAGTTAAAAGTGAATTCATATAAGAGAAAATATTATAGTAGAAAAAGTTGAATTTGAATTTTTGTTAGAGAAAAACAATGTAGTAAAAACTTAAGTTATGATTCGAACTAACGAAAAGAACGAGACCCTCTCCAATGCAAATTTCAATATCAATGTCAATGTTATATTTGACAATAAAAACTGTCAAAATAATATAGTTGGAATGCTATTCTATTTTGTGCTCTAAGCATAATAAAATTTCAAATGCTGTATTTACTTTTTGTTATAATTATTAACTTGTAAAAGAAAACTTTTAATTTTAAAATGATTTGAAAATAACCATGTTGTAATAAAAATAAATGAAAAAGTGAATATATTAATTAATACCAATCAAATATCAAAATTGGGCATATGCTTTTAGCATATGCTGTACATGGCGCCAAAGTCAGCATTAAATTGGAGAGTAAATTTTCTTTAGACAGATATTAAAATTCTTTACTGACACATTTATTTAACAATGTATTGAAAATGCTATTACAAGTACCAATCTGAGCTCTCAAAATCTTCATTTTTGAATTTTCCTTTTCAACATTTGAGTTGTCTAGTAGTCCTAAAAGGCTAGAGGACATTATCCGTTTGGTTCATGGATTAGAACCATGTGATTAAAATTATTTTCGATTTACGTGTATTTTTTGTGAGAGAAAATACTGTAGCGAACCACGAATCATGATTCGAATTAGGGAACGAATCCCTCTACCAAACATAAGCGGTCCAAGCAACTTTGAGCAGCTTAATGGTCCTAATGCCGAGTTTTTTGGCTGGAATCTTAGCTTCTACTTCTCGTGGGCGCCAAGCTAGAACACATAATCATCCGTCTGGCTCAAGCAAACGCGACCAAGAAGACGGGGGACCAAGAAGCACAGCAGAGCGGAGGAAGGAGGAAGACGGATGAGAACGGAACTTCAAGAGTGAAGCCTTCAGATGCATACTTTTGGTTTGGCAGACCCGGCATTGTTTTTGTCTTGATCCACTTCATTCTTTTTCAGAATTCATTTGAGATTGCATTCTTCTTCTGGATTTTGGTATAAACTTTTTTTTTTTTTTTTAACTTATAAACCATAATCCAAGATAGTGAATTTCTTACATTTATGACCTTTTTCTTGATCTTTGGCTTTGCAGTGCACTTATGGTTTTCATTCCTGCATAATGGAAAAAGTTGGCTTTATTATCCCTAGACTCGTTATTAGGTACTAATAGATACTTTCAACTTCACAACAAAGAAAATTTAGTCAATTGCTTACTAATGCTTGGTCATATTGTGTTCTAAAAACCTCTATTCTCTCATATTATGCATAATTGCTCATGACTTTGCAGTGTCATTGTTCAAGTTCTCTGCAGCTACTGCACCTTGCCCTTGTATGCAATCGTTACTCAGGTTTGATATTTTAAACAAGCTTCCTAGTTAGATTTTCATCCATATTGTTCTAAGTGAAATTTACATCTTAGTACTTTGTCTTTTATCGAATTAGTGGATTGGTACCTCAGAATTTAGATAATATTAAATAGATATCTCATGTTTAGGGAGGAAAAAAAAAAACCCTCCAATATTTCATGTTTAGGCATGAAATGTCTTTTCAACCTTTTCAATCTAAAAACATGTTAGAAAAGAAAAAAAAATGAATAAAGAACACCCACATCATTCTGAAAGATGAGGAGGGGGGAATGAAGGCCGATTTGTTTCCTCTGATTGCTTCTGTTATTTTTAGAATTTTATATATTATTAAAGAAATAAATTTGGAAGTTTATTTAAAAGGGTACAAAGGATATTGCACATTTATATTTTAAAGTATGCGGTATATTTTTAGTATTATCTAAATAAGAACAATTATATTAGTCATTTCATGTTTTTAATTAAAATAGTTAATAATTTACGCTTTTTGGTATTATCTAAATAAGAGCAACTATGTTAGTCATTTCATGTTTTTAGTTAAAATAATTAATGATTTAGGCTTTTTTTAGCTTTTCTCTACTCCAACCATTAACTAAATGGTTAGCTATTATGGCTAAAGCATTTTCCACTAGCTAAGAGTATCTCCAAGAGAGCTCTCTAAATTTTAACTAAATTCTAATTAAAATGGCCAAAAAACTATTTTAATTAGCAATTTTTTAATAAGTCACTCTAATCATACTCTCTATTTTAACTAAACATATATTATTTTAATATTTACTGACTTTAAAATATGAATATAACTTTATTGAGTTTGAAGAAGCACCTTTACATTTATAATGGTTGGAAGAATAAAATAATACAAAAAATGAAATAGCTAGTTATATTTAACTAGTGTGGAATGTATTTTCTAAAATAAATAATCATTTAGCTAATGGTTGGAGTAGAGAAAAGCTAAAGCATTAGCTATTTTAGCTAAAAACATGAAATGACTAGAATGGTTAGAGTTGCTCTAAATATAACTAGCAAGAGCGGCTAGCTATTTGTTCTTTTTATTATTTTATTCTTTATTTGGACATAAAGTAAAAGTTTTAAAAAAAGTTATTTATATTTTAAAATCAAAAAAATATTAAAATAATTTATGTTTAGTTAAAATAAATAGTATAGTTAGAGTGAGTCACCTAAAAATTGTTAATTAAAATAGCTTTCTAATCATTTTAGCTAGAATTTAACTAAAATTTGGAGAGCTCCCTTGAAGATGCTCTAATAAAATACAATTTCACTAATTTAATAGAAGTGGCCACACTAAATTGTAATTTACCCTTTTGTTAATTGGATTCACGTAAACAATGGTACAAAGTCTCCACATCATTTTCATACCAAACTTACTCAATGGCTCTTTTGTCTTTTGGTGGTTGGATGAAGATGGGTAGCATGTTCAAGGCAGGCATGTTCGCCGAGCAATCAGCTATAATGGGATGGCTTGAAGGTGCAAAATTCAGACGAGAAAATGCAGAGAGCTCTAATGCTAAGGGGACAGAGATTCACAAAATGGATGCAGAATTATCTGAGATTGTTCAAATCGCAGAGCAAGCCAATATAGTTCAAATCGCAGAACAAGCATCGGTTGCTGCTGACGAAGGAACGGCAGCATCTACAACTCACCTCAACCTTGAAATCAAACCGCCTTCTCCGTCGTCGTGACACTTATTCTCGGGGGGGCTCCGATGCAGTCTAGAGTAAAGGGATGTTACGCTCCCGCTGCATCGGGCTCTATATAGCAGAGGGAACGTTACATTTTTGTGCTGAAATCACATCTTTCCCCATGAGAGTTTCTAATGCACAAAGTGAACAAGGAAACGGCTAATTTAACCTGAAAAGGAGGTTCTAAGACTTCTTGAACTTTTCAGTCAAATTACTCTTTTGCTCTCGTTGTATGAAAACTACCGTATTACCCTAGATCTAGATTTCTAGTACATCACCAAAGAAGCTAACAATAGGCCGTGGTACCCCATTTGCATATTTTCATCCATAACAAACACTATAAGAAGCCAACGTTATTATAAACCTTTTGAATATTATTATACAAAATGTAAGAGAAGATTTCTTTTATCCTTATTTTCCTCCTTTTGTAATTACAAAAATCAAGCCTGCCCTAGAAACTACAAAAATGAAATAGAAGAAAGGAAAATTACAGAGGTCAAAGAATCTAATGCCCCTAAAACTTCTGATTCTTTTTTTTTTTTTTTTTTCCAGCTAACTAAGCTATTTCTCAAATACTCCGGCTACGCTGAAATGTAGGGCAGTCCTATATGCTTAGGTCTTTCAAGCGGAAGCTTCTCTATCTCGAAACTTTCACGGTTGTAGACGGATGCTTCTCCGTTAGTTTCCACCTTTTGAAGCTCTTTTAGAGCTCTTTTGGCATAGATGGTAAATGCAACCGTGGTAATAATCGCAATGATTAAGGAGATAATATTGTATACAATCTCCAATGTAGTCAAGTGATAGTTTCCGTACTGAACATCGGCTAATGTTCGTATTAACCGACCACTGCAGAAAGGCGAGAGTGATTTAACAGGACAGAAGAAAGATTAAGAACAAAGGTAAAAAGAAAAAACGTACGCGAATCGGGAGAACACACCTATAGATGTAAATGAAAGCTTCTGGCACCATTCCAGCAATCGATCCCCATAGATAGGGCCAAAATCGCATACTTGTCACTACAACTGCATAGTTGAAAATTGTGTATGGAAATGGCGAAATCCTAAAGATAGCTACGACCCGGAATTGATGGAACCAGCTCCCTTCCCCGGCAAGTCTAATCATCTCAGCTTTCTGCGGCCATCTTTTCAACCATTGCTGAATAATTAAGAGAAGATTAAAGATCGACGGTAATGTGTTTACCAAAATTCTTCTCTCACTTCAAACAATTAAAATAATTGCGACGGTCAAAACATGAAGGAGATCTTACATGGATGCGATCGCGAAACAGTAGACCAATAAAATAGGGAAGGACCATTCCAATAGTTGTCCCAACCATGATAATAACAAAGCCGAGACCATATCCAAAAATCATTCCAGCCAGCCACATGGATGGACCAGAAGGAATTAAGATCACAGGAAACAGCGCCAGAGAAGCGACAAGAACAATAGCAAGAACAGGACGGCCAAAAGCAGTGGCTTCCCATTTCATGATTGGGATGAGAACCTGCAACGAAATTCTTACACTTTAAAACAAGATAAACCAAAAAAAAAAAAAAAAATACTTAAAGCAATCATACACCAATTCATTCTCCAGAGAGATCAGCATGGAGTCAAGTGCATTATGTATAACATCACAAGCTAGCATGGAAAAAGGTATTCAACTCCATAAAGCTTAACATAAAAATTAATGAGCAGACAGTTTCTATGAAACTACTTATTCTCTAACAGATCATTTATATGTTTAAACCCCTAAATATTTGCATAAAGCTAATAAGAAAAAACAAATATAGGAAGGGAATATTAAACATATACGTAGGAAGAGAACATTTCGTGGTATGATTTTTTCAAATTATTTCAGGTCAGGATGGTGTGTCCATGAGGCCTATAGTCTTATTCTGTCGTTATTATGTCAAGACATTCAATTTCTAAAAACATTATTTATCCCCTAGATCTAAATCTGTTGACAGAACTTAAAAAGAAAAAAAAAAAAAAAAGAGTTGGTTATGAAATCAACTACAAAGCAAAAGATTGGTGAACTGGGTACCCCAAAACATATCTGATCAAGTGACCTTGCAAATAAACAATATAAATTCTCTATCTGTCCTTCATGTTGTACTTTATTGGGACTTTAGATACATGTATAATCACACCATTAGCGTCTTGATGTGATCGATTCCATACGTTGTACATAGGTTTTTAATGTCTTCTAATATCATTAAGTATTTACATCATTGAATTCATAAGCTATTTACAATGGAAATGAACATTCAACCTATGGATGTCAAAACACTCATTCATTTAAAGTGCTCAAATGCAGTCTAAACCATTTTTCTAGAATGCACATCTTTTAAATAAATAAAAAAAAAGGAACAATCCATTTGAGCTAGAATTTCATAATCCGTCATTATAAAAGGTCAATTATCTCGAACACATCAAAGCGCTAGCCAATTGCCTAACATATTCTACGAGGAAAACCAAGGTAAAAGAAGTTGAGAATCGGAAGTACCTTTTCAAAAACAATCGGAACTCCCCACTTCAACAAAAAAAGAAGTAGAATAATGGTAACAACACACAAGACTAAGGCCTTGACCCACCAAAGGAGAGGGTTGGTCCTGGATTCTGCCTGAGGCTGCAAAATCTCAGCTTCTGTGGCTCGTGTTTCATTGGATATAACCAGCCTAACATATTCACTGTCTTCCCTCACATGAGGCGCAGCGTTTGCGTGCTTTTCTAACTTCTCAGAAGAGTTTGTCATCTTTGTTAAGACCCCAGAAGCCCAGAAACAAAAACACACTGAAAAAAAAGGGGTTAAGAAACATATGCAATTTAGACATGAAATTCAGTCACACTATGATATATTTCAGAAACAAAAATACACTGAAGAAAAAAAAAAGGTCGAGAAAGATATGCAAAATCAGAGGCATGAAATTCTCAGTCACACTGTAGTATAATCATATTCTTAGAAGTTAGAACCCAGATGCAGTTGAACCAGTCCAATTCAAAAAATGAAGATACCAAAATGTTTTTTTTTTTTAAAAAAAAAAAATGCTACATAGAACATGAAAAGTACTGACTTTGAAGCGAGTTATGCAACTTCAATAAGATTCTAAAGGGCGCTTTTGGCCCCAACGTCCCAAACCCAGAAATATATTTGGATTTCAGTTTCTAAAAAGTAACACAAAAAAGTTCTATTATATTCACCAATAATATAAAAATACCTGAGAATAACAACAGAATTAGAGTCAATGACACCAACTTCTGAGCATTCAAATAGGGTTTTCTCACACCATTATTATTAAAAAAAAAAAACATATAGTTGAACCAGTCCAATTCAAAAAATGAAGATACCAAAATAGTAAAAAAAAAAAAAAAAAAAATGCAAGGCACACCATTATTCTAAAAAATAAATAAAGAAAACTTGCACTCACCGATTAACGAGCAGAAACCTCTCCAAATTCTTCAGGAAGGGTTCGATTCACATAATTATTCAAAACCAGCTGTTCAGAATGAAAGGGATTTTTCACATCATTTAAAAAATTAAATAAATTAAATAAATAAAAAAACTCAACAAGCAAAAACAAAAGTCGAACTTACCGATTAACAAAAGAGAAATTTCGGAACTTGTTGAAGCGAAAGCTTGTTGTTCTCTCCGAACAACCTCGAACGCTTCGAAATTCCTCTTTTTCTTTCCCAGAAATACCAAGATTTTGGAGGGGGGGTTTTTTTTTTTTTAATTTGGCGGGTTATTGTAAAAAAAGATGATAATAATAATAAGAAGAAAACTGAGAAGAAGAAGAAGAAGAAGAAGAAAATGCTTTAAAGTAATTTGCTTGGTGAGGATTAAGTATTAAGCTTTAGCTCTGTTTGTTTCTTTCTTTGCGATTTCCTTTAAAATGAGTTTGAATTCAATAAATAATTATGATAATACTAAATAATAAAGGGGGAAAAAGAGAAAATATTCAATCCTGTTGTGCTGTTTCTGGAAGGAGACAAGTGAGAAAAGAGAATAAAATATGGGGGAAAAAAGAAAGAAAAAAAAAAGAAAAAAGAAAAAAGAAAAATGCGTTCATGTGTGGCGTTGGAATTGTCAGAACCCACCCAACAACAACAACAACGTCTCACTTTTATTTTATTCTATTCTAGATAACGTCTTAGTTTGACTTTTACCTTTAATTCCTTTGATTTTGAATTTATTTTTGTTCTTTTTTTTATTATTTTGGATTGTAGAGAGAGACAGAGAAATTATAATAAATAGTTTTTTTTTATGAAACTAAAGTAAATAATAGCAAATACCAAATTCACTAAGTATATAATCTATTTACAAGTAGTAAAGTTAGTCTATTAAATTTACTGTTTACTTTTATTTATTTTAAGACCTTCAATTATTTAGTGAAAAAATGGTATTTCTTTTTCTGACAAGAAAGAATTTCTCAAAAAAAAAAAAAAGAACACCAAACTCTTGTAGAGGAGAATCCGGTTTTTTTATTTAAATATAAAAGGGATTTAAATTACCTTAAATTTATTTAAAAATTTAACACTGTTACAATAAAATTATGTCTTTAAAAATTGATGCCACGTGAATTATTTTTTTAATTGCGTAAATTATGTTTTTACTCTTCTAAAAGAACAAAAAAGAATTAAGATTTTGTCGTTGATAGGGAAAAAAAAGAAAAAATTTATTGCATATAATATGCAATTCATGCCCTTCATAATAATAATAACAATAATAATAATACCCTGAAAATGATTATTAAGATATGTAATTTTCAAACTACATTTCTTATTAATTAAATAGAGAATAATATTTTAAAAAAATTAAAAATATTTTTAAAAATAAAAAAATAAAAAAGTTTATGATTTTTTAGATTTATTAATTTTTATTTAATAAAATAGAAGGGTACTAAGGTTTACGTCTCAAAAATCAACTTCAGAATAACAATAAGATTTTTTAAAAACATCGAGATATTGTTTTAATATTATTAAAAATATAAAATATAAAGATCATGTTTTGATATAACACGAGATATCAAAATGATTTTATCTTTATTAAAATTTATACTGATATGCATTCTTAACCTCATATTATATCATTTTCTGCACACACACACACACACACAAAAAAAAAAAAAAAACTCATATTATTACATCATGGTTGGATATAATAAAAAAAATTGGTAAGCATATTACAAAATTTGCTAAATTTACGAATCCTTAGTCAAGATTTCTCCTTGTATATAGTTGCATCATTTTTGAAAATCTTCTATAAAACCCCATAAAACACGCAAATACTTTACCCACGCCACGCGGGTTTTTGACAATTTTTTTTTTTTTTTTTCTTTTTAAGATTAGACAGTTTGTGATTTATAATATTCTTATTTTCAGCGTTGAAATGAAGGGAAAAGACAAAAATGCCACGTCCCAAATCTTCAGGAAGAACACACATCAATTTTGCCCATCAGCCAATCGTCTTCTTCGCTTTGTGTCTGTCTCAAACCAACCGTAACCGTCATGTCTTCAAATGCATGCTTAAAAAGTAGCAAATGTTTATTTTTTTTTTTAATTGTTTATTTGGAGGATTTTAAATAAGGAATAAATTTATGAGGGATTCATGAATTTTTTTTATCTCTTTAAAATTAGTCTCTGTAGTTAAATTGTCTAATAAATAGTTTTGGAACTGAAAAATGTCTCATAAATACATAAAGGAGAGGTGGAGTTTAGTGGGGGCTCAAGGCCCCACTTAAGTATCAAATTATATAAGTTATTATATTATTATGCATATATTTCCCATAAATATTAAAAAAAATTAGTCTATAATCTTATTCTTATAATTTTTTAATTATTAGTCTCCACTAACAAATATTTTTAGCTCCGTCACTGCATAAATAGTTCATTTCTCTTAATTAAATTTTTAAAAGGAAACCGCTATATTGAGTGATAATTATGATTTTGGGTTGTTTTGAGGATTTATTAATATACAATTTTTATTTTTTGACAAGTCCTTAAAGATTTTTTCCTTCTGTAAAATCAATTTTTGATTTTTTTTTCCTCCCTATAAAGTCGCTGATTTTTTCCCCTATAGCATAAGTGCCTTTTTTTTTTTTTTCCTTTTTTCGGGTTTTTTTTAATCATATTTGTTTTATCAAATAACCCAACTATTTTTCTTGAAGTAGATAGAACTTAACTATTCCCTTTTACGGTTGGAATTATTGGGAGGGACTATCATGACTTTTTATTTTTCCTAGTTTTATGGATACTACCACGGTACCACCTTCATTTTATCCTTACTAATTGAAAAAAAAAAAATAATAATAAATAAATAAGGAGATATCGCTCTCTTTGTCAAAAATTTATTTTCTTAGAGAAATTCTCTAGTACGTTAAGTGTAATGGTTTGTCAGGTTTTTCTATTCGTTGAATGAATATGTTTACTTTTTAATTTTTACGTAATTTTATGTAAATTTGACGGATAAAAAACCTGACTTATTAATATGTTGACGTATAAAAAAAAAAAACTACTTTAATTATGGTATAAATGAGCTATAACTTAATTTGACCATAATGCAGTCGTAAAAAAAAAAAAAAAAAAAAATCACAAAACACGACGCAGTAAAAGTTGTAAAAAAAAAAAAGAAAACTATCGCTTGCTGCCTTACTATTACTTAAACTGATGCTTGCGCATAGAAAAAAAGGTAAGTATACTACAAATTAATACTTGTAAAATTTGTAACAATAATAATATTTCTTAGAATAATTATCTTCACTGTGTAGACGGTGTTGCAACAATAAATAACAATTTAGAATTATTTGTAGAGGAAAAAAAATTAATAACTAATTTCAGAGAAGTAAAAAATATTTAAAGATTTTAAATAATGCAAAAAGTGTAAGAGTAGTATTAAACTCTTTAAATAACCCAAAAGTCATAATCATCATCCGTTTTCATTCAACATGTTAACAGATGGACCATTTATAAGACACTTCTTCAATTGAGAGACTATTTATGAGACAAATTTGACTACATCAACTAATTCTAGCTATAAAAAAGAATTGAGAGACCTTTTAATGAATTTATTCTAAAAAATAAGCTACTACAAATTTATTGTTTTAGACTATTAAATTTTGTATAAAAAATTATCTATTTTAAATATATTTTTTATTATTTTAATGTAATGTTGACTTGATCAGACGACAGAAAATATACACTATCGATATATGGTTCTATTATAGGGATCTTTTCTCATACGTCAACATACTAATAAGTTAAGTTTTTTATCTGTCGAATCTGCATAAAATCATATAAAAATAAAAAAAAATATACAAATTTAATGATTAAAAAAATTCAGCTATCTCCTCTATTATAAAATGACCCTATTATTTTATGAAAATGTGTGGCCATACACATCTTTCTGTTTTCCTACGCTATATAAGTCATAACTAATTTTCTTTTGAAAAAGAAATGTATTGGCCACTTGGCTGTATCTGGTAAAAACTTGTAGAAGTAAATTTGTTAACTTCTCTACTTTAAACCGATAAACCATTCGAAATTTTCCACACGTGTCCTTCCTTTGTTTCTGCCAACGAGAAGTTTTGACTAGAAAGTAGATAAATCATACATGTTTTGCTTTCAAAATTATCTATTTAATTAACTAAAAAAAAACAATTTTTTTTTAATCTATGTAACTATAAGTATTTATTAGTAGTTCAATGGTTAAAATGCATTTCCTCTTTCTGATGGGTTCATATTTGATATTTTAAAAATTCTTTTTAAAGATCGCTATCTGAATAATAAATAATACGACGTTAAATTTATGGTGGTATAAATAAAATTAAGCTCGTCTTTAAAAGTATAATTGAGCGGACCTTTGAATTTCATTTTTCATTTTTCACCAATAATTCTCTCTTTTTGTTTTTAGCCAACATAAAAAAAAAAAAAATTAAAGCAACTAGTATTAACTGGACTTGAGTAAACAATCTTAGATCAGCAGCCTTTCCAGCTATATATGCTTCTATTTAATTCTAGTCAATCAAATTTTTCTAACGCTTTTAATGGACTAGTCGATCCATTTAATAAATAATAATAAATTCACAAAACATCATTATTGAGCTAGTAAATAGGATCTTAAATGGTTTTTTTTTCCCTATAAAATGGATTATAAATGAAGAAATCCTAGAAAGTGTGGTCCTACCTTGTATGAATACAACGAATCATAACTAATCAAATCCTAACAATGCACGTGCTTTTATATGCACACACACACACTTAAAAGTTAAATTTTTTTTTGAATAGATCAATACAATTATGTTGGTTATCAAATCAAACACATGACAACTTATCAAATTGAATTGTTTTGTAACTTTTCAAATTCAATATACACAAAAGTACAAATTCTTATATTGGTTTATATATATATATATATATATATATATATTCACTTTGCATACAAGCAAACATTGAAGATTCCCATCACATATCCGTTAACTTACCATGATTGCCATCTTTTTCAGCAAAAAAAAAAAAGAAAAAAAAAAAAGAAAAGCCATAAGTAGTTTGAGATATATATGACATAAACCATAACAAACATTTTGGTGTCACAATGATTGTGTTTTGGGTGTCATAATGATAGAAGTCCCCACACGTATGCCACCTAATCTTTTCTGCCCTACTCGTGAACTTGCTTTGAACCAGGACAATCTTATTGAAAAAAAAAAAAAAAAACATAAAAATACTACTAAAAAAATATCATCTTTACATTTTTGTCATTTAATGGAATAAATTTAATATTTATACCACTAAATTTGATATCATATCAGATTATTTTTTCTTTTTGATAAAAGTGACCTCGGACATTTCAGGCTCGATTTTTATTCAAGTAAAATATCAGTTTTTTTAATCAATAAAGGTGGCAAAAGTCTAGATAAAATAAATATAAAGTTATTAGATTTTAGTGACAAATTAAGTAATTTTATAAATAAACAAGTACATACATATATATATATTGGCTAATTAAATTCATTTTTTTTCCTTTTCTATATGTTCCTATAAAAAAATGCATAACATGTTAGCGTCATCATAATATTTAGTTTCAGTTCATGATGTCACTTTATATATATATATTGGCTAATTAAATTCATTTTTTTCCTTTTCTATATGTTCCTATAAAAAAATGCATAACATGTTAGCGTCATCATAATATTTAGTTTCAGTTCATGATGTCACTTTGGTATAAGGGTATGACATAAAACGTGGGCCTACAACTTCTGAGAAGTTGCTTAAAGCACAACGTATTTCAAGGGGAGAAAAAGGAAGGAAAGATAGCTCAAAAAATTAATGCAACCTTCCTAAAATAATAATAACAATAATAATAATAATGACGACGAGGACGCAACGTAAGCAAAAGTAAATGACGTTCTAACTAATTATTTCTAAATCTAATTTTCATTGGATAAAATTGTACTTTACCCCCCTAAATTATAGCTACTTTGGCGTTTTATCCTCTCAAAATTTTTCTTAGAAAACGTTTGGTTCATGGATTAGAACTATTTTCGATTTACGTATATTTTTTATGAGAGAAAATACTGTAGCGAATCACGAACCATGATTCGAATCAGAGAACGAATATAGGTACCAAACATCCTCTTAGTCTCTTTTTTGTATTTTGCACTCTTTGGCAAAATGAACGTCTGTAAACTACTCAAAAAAGCTTTTGATAACAGTTTCCATGTAAGCAGCCAATCCAAGCCAGAAGTAGAGCCCCTACAGAAGATACATTCTGGGATGATGCCAACGAGGACGTCGAGCTCGATGAAGATGACTATAGAGTCGCACCTCGCTCGAAAGAGGGGCGTCTTCGATGTTCACAAGGAAATTTCTCACTTTCTTTTGTATGCATTTTGGAAAAATCATGGTACATATATTCACACACACGTATCGAAATTATGCACTGCTAGTTTGCTGATTTAAGCGTCGAAGTCCATTTAGCCAATATCCCATCAATGCCTAGTTCATGTTTGCTTTGCAGAGTCTTGACGCCCTCTTTTTTGATCGAGAGCCGTTCGATCAAAGTGTTTGAGGCCTAGGGTTCACTTTGGAATCGGTCAAAATATCGAATCAAGACCACATTGTTACAATAACTTCTCAGAAAACAAAAAACTAAACTTTTGGATCTAATTTTACAATGGTGTTAATTTAAGACTCGTTCATTTTAAATAGACCGAAATCTATACAAAATATGGTTTGGTGGAATTTACAGAAATGAAAGAAACAACAACAATAAACGAAAGTTAATGCATCACAACAAACTAGACGTACACAATCATTGCAAAGTTACAATCAGAGTGAACTTTCCTATGTGTATGCTCAATAAAAAGAAATATACATTTATTTTACAGATCAAATACCGTGAGATAATTAGATACAAGTTTCTCAGATTTTAACTACAATCTTGGTAGGATGAACGGCTGCCTACATCGGTAAACATATGAAGAAGGAAGCCAGTAAGAGAAGGGAGCAGTTTCATCTCCGGAAATGAACATTCACAGCCGAGGGCTGCAAGAACAGAGTCTGCTGAATGGAGAGAGCAAATGGCAGAAATGGATGGAACAGGAATGATGATATCTTTTTGGTTCTATTGTCGATGTTTCCACCTTCCGGGCCTAATTCAAAAACGAAAGCGTCGTTATCAGTGGCTTTTACAACCAAGAATCCGATGGAAAGTAAAGAAAAATAGAGGATAGTCTCTGAACTTTTATTCTAGTCAAATAATATGTCGTTTATCAATAACACAGCAGTATTTTTCATCTGAGGAAAAACATTTTCCTTTTCCAGACCAAACCATAACCAGGCAAAAGTTGAACACGTATTGTAGGAATTTTCTAACAAGAAATGGCAATTTTCTAACAAGAAAACAGCAAGTTGTTTGCTCAACTGAAACCTGTTTTTATGCTAAACTGGACAAGTTTGAAAAGACATTTTCTATAAAACAAACGATACTCTTTCTTATTCTTATTTATCCTGGAGCCTCTAAAATCTTCTCGTTTTACAATACGGGAAACGTACATACCTGGTTTGATTTTAAATCTGAGGGTCTGCGGCGGTCTTCTTAAGATGAACTTTATGGGATGATCCGTTGACTGCCTATGCCGGTCAGCCGCAGAAATCAGCTGCAAGTGCAAAGAGTATGCGTTTGTAATGGGGAATGCTTACAATACATCTCAACCAATTCAACCCCACAGATCCAGAGACTTATTAGGAAAATTTTGTACTGTAGAACATTTGATAGAGAATAAGCCAAGATCAGGAAATGTTTTCCAACGAAGAGAAGGGAAAAAAATTCTCGTATAAGTGACAATTAAGTTCGTCAAAATTTTTAAAAAAATGTGGGTAAAAACATTAACAGCTTATTTATAGGAAGGAAGAAAACAAGTCCGAAGCCTTTTAAGTTAAATTTAAAATTACTTGCACCAGTTTCAAAAATTTGATAAAGATTTTCCCTATGCTCACACATCGATCTAAAATTACAAGGCTCTTTTCTCTCAATTACGCCACAGCAAGACAAACTACAAACTGAATGCTTTACAAGCCATTACTAAAACTATCAATATCTTGGATATGGGTAAGAAAACCAAAGGATTCTAGATCAAACCTTTTCATCAAACCGATAGAGAGATTGGTCAAAATAAGGCGAAGGGCTCAGCGCCTGAGAATTAATAGGCAAGGAGGCCAGCATCTTCTTCACGAACTAAAAATCATCAACTAATTAGATGTTAGATTTTTGAAAAGGGTAAATGCATATGAGCCAAAAATATCTTGCTAACATAACTATAACAAGTAAAACATTTCTTAGTAGTAGAAGTATAAAATTTACAAGTAGATACTAGTAGTGATTGTGAAATTACCTGTGAAGAACTAGTTGCTTTATTTCTAAGTGATCTCAGTTGCTCCCTAGTGTGAATATTATTCGAGTGAGATGATATAAAATTCATATATAATGAGTTTTTCGATGTCGTGTGGAAGTGGTCACAAAAATGCTCAAACAAGAGGTATAGCTCATCTGCATTGTTCTGTAGGCAGTAAAAATACGTCACAGACTGAGCCAGTTAAAAGATATTATATTCACAATAAGAAGAGGAGTTTGAAAGCTTCTTTACCTGATAGAAAGCTACAATATCTGTTGTCTCCATGTTATATACAGCAAAAAAGGCTGGGTGGTGATCCGTAGTTCGTGATACCTAAAGCTCCAAAACTAAAATAATCACCACATATGTTGTCGAATATCCCCCAAAAGCATAAAAGTTGAGCTCTAGAATTTACATTCCTTTAGTAGCTAGAGAGTTCAAAATTAAAATATGTATAACAGCTGAACAAATCAAGCAATTCAGTTTAAGAAATAGAAGAGTTGATAGAAATTTCTCAGCTTCATAAAGTACTCAAAGGTACTAAAACGTTATTCAAGAGGTTGCAGCTTGGACTATCAGAATTTCAAGTTGGCATTTATCTATCTAATACGTTAAAATTTGAAAGAAGGGAACAGACTGGTAGAGTAATTAGAGTGTGAAGACTGTGCCACCACTTGTTATTTCAGGCTCTTTGATGATAGACAGCTACCAAACTTTAAAGGATTCGAAGAGCTCGAGTAATAAGTTGTATGGTGCCTGTTTGGCAAGGCTCTCTTTTGGCTTCTAAAGCCCCAAGCCATGTTTTGGCTTGTTTGGATGGATTTTCAAAAAGTTTCTTTTGTTTGGAAGAGCTTCAAATAAAAAACGTTTTGTTTCCAATCAATACGATCTTTATCCCTAGATCAACTGATGTATAGCATCCAAACACTAACGGAAAAGCCGTAGCTTCTGCTTTTCATTTTCTACTGCTAAAACCCAAAAGTGAAAGCCATACCAAACAAAGCCATAATTTTATTTATTTATTTATTATTGAATGGCAAACAAAGCCATAATTACCATAAGAGATGCAATGTCTAAATACCATCAAGCCTAGATATAATGGAGCTCACATCTAATTAATGAAAGTCAAACTGCATTCAATGGGGAGACTCATTAAGCATCTGTATTGTGCAGTCGGAATAATTAATCCCCATGTTTTTTTTTGCAATTTAGGATAAGAAAGATGGAGTTGTGATCAAAGATTGGTCCCCGCAGTTTACTAAACACAAACCCACTAAAATAGAATTAAAATGATAGAAAGAAGATCTCACTGCTCCATCTACACTGCCGAACTTGATTAGCAGGTGGTGCCGGTCCAAGAATTGTACCTAACGAAGTGTTAAGCACGGAGAACTTGTCATTGATCATTCAACTTGCACGACAGAAAGAGAATTTATGCACCACAAAACTAGCCTATTTGAAAAAAGAGTACCAAAGCAACGTCTTTAAACTTCGAGAGGGAAAAACCCTACCTTCCAGATAATTAAGTCGATATAATCTTGAAAATGGAAATAAAACTTCTTCTTCAAGTACTGAACCCTCTGGAAGATCGAAAAAGTAGTGCAAAAATCAGTAATTAAAAATAGAAATAAGTTTCAGAGCTAACTCAAAAGCATCTATGAAGATCAATTAGCTCATTAGTTATGACAGTATATCAGAACAAAACAACAGATAAGAGAGTCAAATAATTTTACAAAAATGGAATAAGACCAGAACGCCAATAACCTTTTCCTTTCTACTCAATATATGTTTTACTTTTGCACGACCTTCAAACACCTAGTTAATATTGTTTTACTGCCACTGGGGCAATAATCTTTCAAGAACACAATCTGCTGTCTTCACAAAATAGGATGAAAATTCCCATTGGGACACAAAACTACCCTCATTTGCATTAGATGACAATTTTTAATCCTGAATATCAAAACTTTCCCCTCTGCCCCACCCTCAGAGGAAGGAACACTCTTTAAAAAGAACTGCATTTCAAGTACAGGGGCTGTAAAGAACTATTATCATCATGAAATCCAGAAGCAGAAAATCCTCAAAGAGGGAGAAAAGAAAACCAACAGAAAGCAGATATATAATGAATTAACCAGATAAGATAAACGGCTCACTTAAGGCAGAAACAGATGGTCTTTGCTATTTTATGCATTCTATCTTCTTAAAGCAGCATATTACATACACAAGAACCAGAAAGCAAAATCTTAATTGAAAGAAGAAATACCAACCAAAGTATGATTTGTTTCTTCATTCCATATTCCTCGAAATATAAACGAAAGCAAACGCTGCTTAATGCCACTAACAAAAGCATTTTCTGGACTAAGCCGACTCTGTTGTAAGCCATTCTCGACATGGTTCTCGGTCAGCTGATGTTGCTTACTTTTGTCGCGAATACCCATAGACTGCCACCATAAGCTGAATTGTCAGTTAACTTATCCAAATAAAATCTTCTCTTTATAAATCAAAGTAAGCCAATTGAGATGATAAGTTGAAAACTTAGTGTATTTCTAGCATCTTATTATGCAAGCAACCAGATCCAGTAGCTTTCTTTTAAATTCATTAAAAACTAGAAAACAAAACCCACTCACCGGAGCATTTGAATTGAGAAAAAGTTCATCATCTTCACGGCAAAAGGCCCCAATTGCTCGTACATCAACCAGGTTCCCAGAGTCCCGAATTTGAAGAATATGTACTGTTTGATATCGAAGTGACACAATTGCCAGAAGATCATCATACAAGAAGACACCCATATTATGGGCTAAATTGACAAAATCATCGTTGAAAACCTTCTCATCAAGTACAACGCCATCTTCTAGTCTAAGTGCATGAGATATAATTAGAATCATAGGCCGAGAATATAGACAGCTCAAAAAGATAAATCAAATGTTGTGCATACAATTCTTATTATAAGTAATAAGGTAAAGAAATGGAAATCAATCCCATAATTAAAAACTGAGCACACACCTCAAGAGATGAAACGTTATCTTTTCTATTGATGGAACTCCTTGAATGGCGCCACCAACAGCAGGTGCATCGTGAATTTGTGCGGTAGAAGTAGCAAAGAGTCCAAATCGGTTACTCTCCATGTAAAGGAAGAAGTCCTTACATATAAGCTCATTGCTGGAAGCAAGTGATACGCAGTAGAGCTGGGTAAAAAAGCTATCAAACTTCTTTGCTTTAGGGGGAAGATCATGAACATCACAATCTTCTTCCGTGCACGAAAATGAAAGCCACGTTGGTCTATACACAATCAATTCCTGATGATTTCTACTGAAACATATGAGGTATTGGCCATCATCAGTGAATTTGCGAAACAAGTGATCTGGGCACTCAACATCATATATGGTATAGCTAGGAACCAAGTTCTCATAAAACCGTCTAGCACAATGGACCTGTAAGCATTGAAGTAATAATCACAATTCTATAGTGGAGCCATACTAGATTTCAAAATTTTTTGAACATTCACTTTCCCTGGCAGAGCCCTTTACCAATAGAAGGTGGAGTCTAATGTATAAATACTGCAAATAGTACAAATTGGGACTTTTTGTTAACAAATGTTACTTTACTTTCAAGGAGAGTATTTTTTTAAGACGTCAGTTACAACGTAATTTAACAACGGATAATCTATGGAAGTGTCAAGTGTATAAAAATTGGTTATCCATGTCTAAGGGAGACGAAAATTCATTAACCATCTTTCCCTGCATTTTGCATTAATGGGAAATTCTAAGAGCCGTTCAGTTCAAACCTTTTTGCTATGGTATTTTCTCTCACAAAAAATTGGAACTTCTATTAAAATCTATAAACTAAACAGGCCAAAAGAACGAGTCAAAATTAAATGCTGAAGTTCAAAATTAAAAGAGTAAGAAGAAGGTACACTGGTGCCAGGTGGAGGAGTGCGAATTTGGCGCTCGAAAATCCTGGCAACGATATTGTTGCTTCTGAACATTAGTGCCCTTGCACTTGCACCACCACCTAAAATGATGTTTCCCCTGAAAACCAGCAAGTAAAAAATTGATCCAAGGTAGCAGAGCATAAGATATGAAGCATGAACATTTTGCAGCATCAAGAGGGAATCCAAAAAACAAAAGAAAAATAAAACTACCTTATTAAATGTTGCAGCAAAAGAAAGGGCCTGCAGAGAGAGCTGCACGCGGAAGGCGATAGTAGTTATCAGGTCGTAGAGACGCCTAGCCCGTAAGCTGGCCCCCTTAAGAACCCATTACTGAGTAAGGATTTGTTATGCATGATAATAAAGTTAACACATGAGATAGATACTAATAATAAGTGGGGAATCTTTACCGTGCAACCCTCAAAAAAGCTCCACAGGTGGACCACCTAAAATATAAGTTGACTTTTCATTTTAACTGATAGATGAGGGATATAATCTCAGTTACCATGGGCTCTACCGTGCGTAATTATTATTTTTAAAAATGCAGAATTTAACCCCAAAAAAAAAGAGCCCTGTGTCCAGATAAACCAAAAAAAGAAAAAGACAGGAACTATTGATTCAATGCCGGAATACAAGAAAATGGGATTAAAGACTTGAGTGAGCCTGAGATTTCGGGAAAAGAGGGGTTCTTTGGATGCTGAAAAGGTGGTCTTGTTGAGGCTAAACATGGGGTTGAAGAAGGGAAGATTGGTGAAAAGGATGGGCTAGAAGAAAATGGCGTTTCTTTAGATGACAATGGGAATGATCCTTCTGGGAAAGTTGAGGCTTCTGTTGGGAGTGTGAATGAAAATGAAGATGTGGAAGTAGAGGACTTGGGTAGTGAAGGAGATGAGTTTTGTGTGGGTGATTTCGTTTGGGGTCAACTTAGGAGACATCCATGGTGGCCTCGGCAAATTTATGATCTTCATACGCGTCGGATTATGCTTCAAAGATTGAATCCAAAGGACGACATTTTAGCCCGTTTGGAAGGTATACTCAAACTATTGATTCTGATGTTTGAAATTCAAATTTTTTGTAAGAGGAAAGCACTATAACAGCATTAACGATTTGAGTTTGTGGCTTACGTTGGTGACGGAACCGAATAGGACTTGATCAGATATATAAATTTGAGGATGAGGAAGAAAAAAAAAAAGCAACAATTTTGAATATTGAAAAAAGAAAAATTTGCAATCGAACTGAATAGGCAAAACACGGAATCAACAGTGTCTTAACCATTCAATTTTGATCTAACGTTCTCCTAAACCTGCTCCACCGGTGGAACTTTTCTAGGGTTGCACAGTAAAGAATCCTTAATAACTGTTATATTGAAAGAGTTTCATCATTATTTATAAATAAAAAAACAATTTTATTAAGAAAAGGAAAGTACAGAAAAGAACAAGAAACCAGACAGTCCTTTATTGAATATTAGTAATAAATAAATAAATAAATAAATAAAGCAGCATGCTTCACTGTACTTGTTCAAATTTGAAAGTAAATTCAATACGAACTTGCAATTAACACTGGAAGAAGTTTCAGATTACTATGGAGAAACTTGAAATTCGCATTTTTGCAAAGCAAATTATGACAACCGCATACTAACCCAAATGGGGAAACTCTACCATAACTAATCATTTCATTGTTATTAACAAATGAGCTAAGATTTTCATTCCAAAGAAACCCATTTTGAGATTCTAAAATCTAAAATCTATGAAATCCGATCATACGATTGCAACAGAAAAGTTCAAATTTACTCAAAGACTTGACAAAATCCCAACTTTGAAACGCAAATTACAAAGGCACATTCTTCAAACGAAAATTATAAACAGAAAACCGACCATGGAGGAGCTTGGCTTGCAGAGTGGCCTGAAATAGGGCTCTGGTGCTCGCGGGTTACTGATGAGCTCTATCTCAGCTCTAGGGCTTTTTTTTTTTTTTTTCCTTCAAAAATGTACTTTTTTGCTGATAATGTTACGTACTTAAAATAATTTAGAATTTCTTTTTTATTTTAGAAGGAAAAAATATTTTAGGATTATATTAAAAAAGATATGTTTTAGAATTTCATTTTAATAAACTATTTTATTATTAAATTGTCCGTTGATAAAATTATTTTTAAATACAAAAATATATTTTGGGCCATAAGTTTTTTAAAATTATATATTAACCCTTAAACTTTTTGAAACTATATTTTTAATCCCTAATTTGTGAGATATACATTTTAATCCTCAAATTGTATGGGTCCCGACTCATTAGCCTCACCCCGATATTCTTGCTTTTTGACATGACCCTTATGATGGTCCTCACCCAATCCTAACCTGTTGGCGACCTTAAATTCAATAGTGATTATAACATAAGATTTTTGTTTAAAAATTTTTATTAAAAAAAACTAAGTTTTTCATACCTTAAAAATTTTGATAACAATTAAAATTACAAAAAACAAAAATATTTCCTAGTAACCCTTTTTAAAAAATAATTAAAAAAATGTTTGAATGAATCTAACCAACAATAAATTCTCTTTTTTTTAATAAAGAAAGATAATTTTAATTTTGTATTATGTGTTATAGCGAAATTGTCTTTAATTCCGTATTTTTAATAATTTTAAAGTTTTTTTTTTTGTATGGATACCTTCTCAACTTTTTAAATTTGGCAATTTGATCATTTTTTTCTTGGCAATTGGCATTTTCAACTTTAAAATTTTTGCAATTAAAAATAACATATGTTTTTTTTTTTATAATTTTTGAGTATGTGTGCTTCTGTTAAGGGCAATAAGGTAATTTATCACTCTTATAGTGTTTATTGAGGGTATAACCCTTGAAAATTAAGAGTTATTTATTACAGCTGATTGTGTTCGGACACATTAGATGATTCTAAAATCAATATAACTAAACAAACATGGTGAGAAATGACATTCGTTATCTTCAACAAATGCCCTCGTGGCGTCACATGATAAAATTGTCAAAAAAAAATAGACATCACTTTTTTATTGGACCTTAATTGCGAAGAATTAAAAGTTGAAGATGCCAATTGTAAAAAAAAAAAAAAGAAACAAATTGACAAATTTAAAAAGTTAAAAGGAACAAAAAAACCTAATTTTAAATTATTAGTACATTGAAGTCTTTTTTAAGACATGCAATGTCAAATTTGACCTTTTTAATAATTTTTTATTTGTTTGACTCGAATTTACTGTTTATCAAATGTTTTAAAAAAATATTATCCCAGTAACTAAGCATCCTTTTTACCTTTAAAATTTTTGAAAAATTAAAGCTTGTTAACTAAATAAAAAATTATTAAAAATGAAAAATTTGATATTGCATGTCCAAAAAAGACAAAAATTAATTTTAAAAAAAGTAAATATATTAATTTAAAATTATAAAAGACATGTGATACTAAAATATAATTACCCTGTTTTTTTATGAAAAAAAATACAATTACGTTATGCTACAAATTGAAATTATCCAAAAACAAAAAAAAATTGAAGAAAAAGTGAGAAACCTAAGAGCGCCATGTACATGCGTTGTTGGCCCAAAGCCCCAAACCGTTCTTCCTCTTCTAAAACTCTCTCTCTCCAAAACCCTAGAGCTCGGAAGAGCTCATCAGTGACACCTCGAGCCTTTCTCCGCCGTCGCAAGCACCGGAGCCCGTCACCCTAGTCATTCCGCCGTTGCGAGACGATTTCAAGCCAAGCTGCTTCCATGGTTGGTTGTCTGTTTGTTATTTTTGTAATTTCTCTTTGGATTTTGTGATGTAAAAACCAAGTCTTTGAGGAGACGTGAACGTTTCTGTTATAATGCTATCGTTCATTTCCCTTTGCTTCTATATATGATGGGATTTCATAGATTTTTTGAATCTCAAAGTGGGTTGGAATGGAAATTTTAGCTCTTTGGTTAGTAAATGGTTATGATAGATTTTCCCATTTGGGTTCTGTGGTTTTTATAATTTGCTTGCAAAATGGGTTGCCTTGTGAAGATGAGTTTAAGACATTGAATGGGAACAATGGGGATAATAAACACTCTAAAAATGAAAATAGCTTCAATTCTGTTCGTCATTTTTGTTTGGAGTTGAAGTTGTTTTTATAGATTTTTAAGTTTTTTTGTTTGAAATTTATACTTGAAGTTTAATCTATGAATTTGTGGAATTCGTTTTATTTTGGAATATGTTGATAATTGATTGATGATTTTGGAATTTGTTTGATTGTTGAAAATTTCTATTTTGATTTTTTTTGTTGATATTGGTGAAAATTGCTATTATGATAGCTATGTGTGATTTTCTGTTGATTATTTTACAATTTTTGGAAGATTGAGATTAGTTTGATATTTGTTTGATATTAGTTGGATACTGTTAGAAGTTCATATTTGTGAGGTTTCTATGAGATTTTTGGAATTAGTTATTTGTTGGAAATTGTTATGATTATGGTGTTGTCAAATGTTTGGTTTTTATGATTATTATTATTTTTTTTTAGCCCAAATTGAGCAACATTGCCTCGACATTCGACCATGTAATTCTTGTTCCAATATTGTATTGTAATTGGAAATATCTTTCATTTGCAGGAGGAGATCTCTGAAGAGATAGACATTAAAGTAAAGAAGTATCTGAGGGGGGAAGGTGCTAATTTGGAGGTACTGTGCAGGCTGTGGGAGATTTGAGTATTTATTCTTTCAGTAATAAGTTTCTGTCTTGCTCAACTTAGGATTTTAATTTTTGCAGGTATTGCAAGATAAAAAATTGAAGGGACAACTTGCAGTTAGAGAAGAATTGTATGGAAAATCTGCAAAAGCCGCTGCCAAGGCCGAGAAGGTTTTTTTTTTCCCCATGTGTTTGGACATCTTGATTTCACAATTTAAAATCAGAAATAGGACAGTAAAACTGTCTCCTCAAGCCTCAGTTTAATATTTTGATGGTCTTTTGAATCTATCGACAGTGGCTTATGCCAAGTGAGGGAGGCTACTTGGAGGCTGAAGGTATAGAGAAGACATGGAGGATCAGACAGGAAGCCATTTCCCGTGAAGTAGATATCTCAAGCTCGAGAAATCAGTTTGATATTACTTTGCCAGGTCCATAACTATCTTGTCACTGCTTCCCAATTGTCTTAGTGGAGACTTTCTGTTTTTCAATTTATTCAGGTAGCTTTAAGACTGAAGTTTCCAGGATAGTAGTGGAAGGGTGGAGAGAACATAAACATGACTAAAACATGTATAGTTTCATTTTGATGCTAAATGATCAAGTAAGCAGCTAGACGGCTGGACCTCTATCCTAATGGCTATTGTATTTTTTTTTTGGGGGGAACAAGAATCAAAGTATATTGATGGGCGGAAAATAGGTAAATACAAGGGAGGACGAATAGATTTTCTCAAAATCTCACCAAAAATAGAGCTAGGCTTCAAATGGCTGTCCAGCCCCTAACTAAATCCAAGAATATTGGATTGCCAATTTCTCTATCTGTGTATACCCATAAAGAAGAGTTGCAAAATTTATTTTCAGTGTGTCCTTGTGTTTGCTCCTGAACTTATTATTATAAAAGATTCCTCCTAATCATAAAAATGAAAGCGAGGAGGGAAAAGAAGAAAAACTTTGGTTGTCAATACAAAAAATCTACATATCATTCTCAAAATTCTTATTTTCAACTCTTTTGTGCAGATCTTGGTCCTTACACAATGGATTTTACCTCAAGTGGTCGTTATATGACTTTTGGTGGAAGGAAAGGCCACCTGGGCATTGTAGATATGAAAAATATGGATCTAATTAAGGAGATTCAGGTATGTAAGTAATGGATTCTCAAAAGTCTAGCTATTCTTGAGGAGATTTGATCTGGTTGTTCAGACTTCAGTATGGTTGGGAACACTAACGCAAATTGCCCTTCTACCCCTAAACAAATTGTCTCAAATAAGAGGCTAATATTTATGACACTAATGGGCACTGTTGCTATTACAAGTTGATTTTGGCTTAGACATTTCTTTAAGGCATTACATTAAATATCATCTTGGTTCACTCTACGTGCAAAATGATGAAATGTTTTGATTTCACAACTTGACTTGAGAGTTGCTTTGAATATTGATAGGATTATATCTGATGTTCAACGCCATGAAGTTGGTTTATAGGGTCTATAATTTCTCTAATTGATATAGGAGCACTTGATAGTGTAGTCATGTTAGGTGGTCCTCAATTGTGTAAATATATTTGCTTTTTGGGATTTTTACGTTTGTTGTTTTCTTACTAGTAAAGTGCCCTTACCATTGTTTCTCTTTTACTCCACTAAAATGCTTGTTTTATCAAGCTCTCGTTGTCGATTGCATGTTGCGCACTGAATTGCTATATATATATATATATATATATATATATATTTTCAGGTGAGAGAAACAGTGCGTGATGTGGTGTTCTTGCATAATGAACTGTTCTTTGCCGCAGCCCAGAAAAAGTATGGAACTGTTTTCTTCATCTAAGTAGCTGTTTATAGTAGCTGTTTATATTTCTAATCTGAAATGGTTTCAATATTTACATCTATTTAACAATATGGCTGTGTATGTTAATGGCTAACAGTTGCGTTCTGTTGCATCTAATTTCTTGTATTAGCACCCTTTTTTTTTTTAATCAGTGACTAGCATAAACGTCAATATTAAATATATAAGAACGATTTGCTTTCACCATCTCTGTATTCAGTTTTATGATATATAGATAAGAGACTTTTGTTAAAAGCTGCTTTTTTAATTGAATCAGAAATTTCGAGTATAAACAATTCTTCTTGGGTTTCATGGTTCCATTATATACATATACATACATATATATGTATTTATAATGATAATAGAATAAAAAGGAGAGAATATAATGAAGTAAATAAAAATTTAGCACTGTGTTTTCATTGGGATAATTTCAGTAATTAAAGGAATATACGGCTTTATGTGGATGATTTATCTAATGATTTTAAACAATTGCCAGTTATCCGTATATTTATAATCGGGATGGCACAGAACTTCACTGCTTAAAGGTTAGTATTATGCTATCTCTGCAACAACTCTATAGTGAGCTCCCCGCTGTCTGGGTCGATTTATTTAATTGTTTTTTTTTTTTTTTTTTTTTTTTTTTTTTTTTTTTTTTTTTTTTTTTTTTTTTTTTTTTTTTTTTTTTTTTTTTTTTTTTTTTTTTTTCAAATGCATCATCAGTAACCAAGTCATAATTTAATATGTTACAGGAACATGGCGCGGTCTTAAGGCTTCAGTTTCTGAAAAACCACTTCCTCTTGGCATCAATAAACAAATCTGGGCAGCTTCATTATCAGGATGTAACTATGGGCCAGATGGTAGGTAATCATAGGACCGGCTTAGGCCGTACCGACGTGATGCGGGTGAATCCCTTCAATGGTGTTGTTGCTTTGGGTCATTCATTAGGTACAGTTAGCATGTGGAAGCCTACAAGTTCTGCGCCTCTTCTCAAGGTTCTGTGTCACCGGGGGCCAATCTCAGCGTTGGCATTCCACCCCAATGGCCATCTCATGGCCACAGCTGGAAAAGAGAAGAAAATTAAAATCTGGGACTTGAGGAAACTCGACTATGAACTCCAAAATATACCCGGCCACGCTAATACCTTGGATTTCAGTCAGAAAGGTTTGCTTGCCTGCGGAACCAGATCGTCTGTCCAGATTCTGGGCGATTTATCGGGAGCTCAAAACTATAGCAGATACATGAATCATTCCATGGTGAAAGGTTATCAGATAGGAAAAGTGGTGTTTAGACCATATGAAGATGTTCTGGCCATAGGACACTCAATGGGATGGTCGAGCATTCTTATTCCAGGTTCCGGGGAGCCCAACTTTGATTCTTGGGTGGCAAATCCATTCGAGACATCTAAACAACGGAGAGAGAAGGAAGTACGCTCACTTCTCGACAAGCTGCCTCCTGAAACAATCATGTTGGATCCCACAAAGATTGGCACGGTGAGGCCAGCGAAGAAGAAAGAGAAGCCAACGAAGCAGGAGAGAGAGGCCGAGATGGAAGCAGCCATTGAAGACGCCAAGGACATCGACTTCAAGAGGAAAACAAAGGGAAGGAATAAACCGAGTAAGAGGGTGAAGAAGATGCAGGAGACGGTAGCCAAAGCTAAGAGACCTTTCTTGGAGCAAAATATGGAGGAAGAAGAACTGTTGGCCAGAAAGAAGCAGAAAACAAGTGAAGTCGTCGAGCTACCGGTTTCTTTGCAACGGTTTGCTAAAAAGAAAACATTAACATGACCACAAATTCAGTGTTTTCTTGATATCTTGTCATTTATTTACCTTTCGGTATTCCTCAATTTTGTGGTTTTTAGAAGGTAGAATGTATTCCAAAATTTTGTTTTTTTCTCGACAGCAAGGAAATTTGAGTACGAGAGTAACCTTCGAAAACAAAAATGAGTATGAGCCAGAAAAGTGGTGGCTTTTGTCTCCTTTTTAACTCCTGTCTATGAATTCTTATAATTCTCTCCAGCTTTATTACTGCCTAATGCCTATTCTTCATTCTCTGCCAAACGGTTAACAAACTATTTGGTCATGCAATTTCAAAACAAAAAACTGTTCTAAAAAAGAACCTTGTTTGGTTCACCTGGTTTAGACTGTGTTGATTTGAATTTTTTTGTTTAAACTAGAAAATTTAAATTAGGTGGTTTAAATTGCGATTTGAACTAGTATATGGATGTATAGTTAAAGTGTAAATATGAATATGAAATAAAATTTAAATTTGTGTTTGGATTGATGTGATAAGAAGAGAAAATATGCATCTTTTTGCCATTGAAAAAATTATTTGAAAAGTTGAAATGAAAGTAAGGTTAGATTTTGAGTTCATAATTCAGCTCAGTTTGAACAAGTAACAAAATTCGGCCTACATGTTTACTAAACACAAATTTAAACTTCATTAGCTCTGATTGAATTTTTTAGTCCAAATTGAAAATCTGTCCCCTTTTCATTTTTTAAGTTTCATGGCCAACATACCTAAACTTTTAGGTAGTGATAAATTTGTGTTTGAATTAGTTTTTTTTTTTTTTTTTTTTTTTTTTTTTTTTATAATCCAGTTCTTAGTTTGAAATAATTTGCCAATTTTATTTAACTTTAACTATTAATTTTATATTTTTAAGGTATTAAATTTGAAAGGCTTTAACAGAAATAAATATATATATATATATATTTAGTTCAATATGCACCTGAAGTTCATCACACCTTTGAATTATATAAAAATTTAAAAATCATCATATTAAACTAATGTATTTATAAATGCTTTTCGAATTATTAATTTTGTGTCAGACTTGTCTTTAAATTTTTAAAAAACCCACAGGATATTGATACAAAACCGATAATTTATGAAACATTTATGAAGTTTTAAGTAGGTCACAACTATCATTTTGTTAGTATTATAAATAAATGAGTATTTTAAACGATTTTGAATAGTTTAAGAGATAAAAATGAGTCATTTATAAAACTATAAATAATAATCTTTTAAAAATTCACATTCAATTTTGACTAACCATAAATTAAAATTGCGAGAGAAAAAAAAAAAAAAAAACAAAATACGGAGACTAGTCGACAAAGAAAAATAAAGATAAGGTTTAAGACTGTTTTGGTTAAGAAACAATTTCAGAGTACATGATTATTATTATTATTATTATTATTGCTATTATTTATTTTAACCTTTGGTGAGTTAAGGTTGGACTTGGACAGGAAAAAAAAAAAGGGGTTTAAAGAGAAGAGGAGGCGGAGGTGCGGCGGAAGAGGAGTCCGTTTTGTTCAGGTATTCTTCTTCTTCTTCTTCTATTTCATTCCTCTTCTTCCTTCATTCTACGATGATTGTATTTGAGTCTTAGAAGAAGAAGAAGGAGAAGAAGAAGAAGAAGAAGATAGATAGAGAGAGAGAGAGAGAGATGGGGAGATGGCAGTTGGTGGTGGAATGTGTGAGGTTCGTTTGTGGGGCTGATTTCTGGAGAATGGCTGTGCTCTGGGCATGGTTTCTGGTCGTATCCCACTTGCAGATTTTGCTTCCAAAGCTCTTCTCTACCAGTTCCACAACTTACCCGCGTTCTACTTCTTTCTCTTTCACACCCCTCTGCATTGTCACCGGCGTAAGCCCCTCATTTTTTTTTTTTGAGGAATGCCCATATGCCCTCTTTGGAGTTTCTGCTTACACACACACACACACACACAAAATATGATCTTTATTTATGTGGAAGTTTTAACAAAAACTTGAGAAAAGGTATAGCATTGATATATGATATATAAGTTCTTCGTTGTTTTGTCTTTTGTTACACAGAATAAATATAACACTACACTCCGTACTTTTACATGTTACACGCAAGAACAACCCTTTGTGCGTGTAATATATATTTGATGGCATTATACACTTCTGCATATGATAAGGACTACCTCAGCCATTACGCATTATGCGCGTATAAATGTCCTGTTACACATCAATCTTTACCTATTACATGTTAGAATCAGACTGCTGAAATGGTATATATATATATATATATATATATTGTTGTTTATAATACGTTTTAGTTTTTACAATCTGCTTACGTTTCTCTTGAATGGTGCAGGCTACATCTGGTCTAGGTGCTGCTGCTGCGCACTCTCTTTCCAAGGAAGGCTTCTATGTTGTTCTTGGTAAAATTGCATTACTTCTTTTCTTTCTTTTTCTTTTTCCCTGTAATTTGATTTGGTGTAAGTGATTATTATGTTGTTGAATACTTGAGAATTCAAAAGTTGTTCCGTGTCATGTGTATGCTGTAATTCGCCAACTGGTGCTAGTCCAGCTGGTAAAGGTGGGAGGGGTTTTAAGGGAGAGATCCCTGGCTCGAATCTTGGGAGAAGCTAGCAATCAAAAAAAAAAAAAAAAGAAGAGAGAGAGAGAGAAAAAATGTATGCTTTAATTCTATATAGGGGTGGTCTACATAAACATTATCCAATGACATTACTTCTATCCAATTCCTATTTATTAGATTTGTTTGGACTCTAGGCAATTAGCTTAGTATACTAGTTTAAACATGAAGACATGATTGTCCCTTACGGATATGTTTGGTGAGAGGGAAAGAAAATAAGAAGGAAAGATAGGCATAAAAGCTAGCTGAGGAAAATAGAGAGGAAGGGGAGAACCTTTCTGTTATTGTGTTTGATATGCATTTTATTCATTAATCTCTCCATATTTAGGGATATTAAAATTGGTGCTCTTCGAAGGATTTGAAATCCCACACTCAATTCATCCCCTTCTATTTTCTCTGCTACCAAACACCATAGGTCTCAAAATCCTTCCACTAATCCCTTCACCCCTTTCCCTCCTTATTTTCTCTTCTACCAAACAAGCTCAAAGTCTTCTGTATCCTTGGTATTAGCTTCTTATGAAAAAAAAAAGGGGGGGGGGGGGGGGGGGGTTTTTCACATTAGCCAATTTTCCGTGATTTTTATCACTCAAGGACTTGTAATAGGATATTTAGGCATTTTGCATGGATGTCTATGCTATGATCACTTTTAGAGTCATATATAAACCAATTTGCTTTTCTTTACAACAATTAGAATAGTCTGACAGCTTATGGAATGTATATCTTAACACCACGTAATGTATGCAGTTGGACGGTCGTCTCAGTTGTTATCGAAGGTATTGCTTCTGTTGCAAGTTTTATATGAAAACGTGCCCCCTTCATCATGCGTTTCTTTGTGTTTGCTCTTGCTGGTTGTATGACAGACTATGAGAGAAATTAAAACCAGGAACAAGCATGCCCAACTCAAAGCTTTTCAAGTTGATTTGTCGTTGTTCCCCTCCATTTCAAAATTTAAAGTATCCCTTGAGCAGTGGCTTTTGGATTCAAATATGCATTGTTCGGTCCAGTTATTGATTAACAATGCTGGCATACTGGCAACGTCACCTAGACTCACAGCTGAAGGCTACGACGAGTAATGTCTTTTATCTTAATTGAAGTAGTCTTCAAAAGTCAACATCTTACCCTGGTTATGATGAACCTCTTTTTTTTTTTTTTTTTTGGCATTTTGGTTTGACATGCTGATCTACTGTAACTAACTGCATTGGTTTAACCTTGCTGTTGTTATATTTAGCTTGATTTTTCTTATAGAAATTGACAGTTGCAGTTTGCATCTAAACTCCTATACTAGAACCAGTCACACTTTATACTCATGAAACAACTGTCTTCCTTTCTGTGCTCTCTGTCTGTATTTTTTCTTTTTGTTTGTGTTTTTCTTATGTTTTTTTCATTCATTGCGTGGATGCACGAAAGTTTCTAGTTTTTGTATTGAAAATCTGCACAAAATGTATTTGTAGTCACTTGAGAACTTGATTACTTACGCGGTTTGTCTGTGATTTCCAGAACGATTGCTACAAATTATATTGGAGCATTCTATCTGACAAATCTATTACTGCCACTCCTCAAAAATAGTCCTATGCCTTCGCGGATAGTGAATGTAACATCCTTTACGCACCGAAGTGGTAAGCATATATAATACATGCACGACTCAAAACTCTTGATATTGAACAATTACTAGAGTAGTTTACTTGTTTTAAATTTGAGTTTTCATGAGATGTGAAAGTATACTTCTTATGTGTAGCCTTAACCTAATTATCCCTTAATCCATAATTTGCTATTAAGGTTCTTGTCTGATAGTCAATAAGTGATAGTTGATACGGTAATCCAAGGAGAGAAAGGAGGGTGGTGGTGGGGTACAAAGTATGTCACATGACATTCTTTCAACTCATGAAATCATAAAAGGAAAAACCTTGAAAATTTAAAAATCTGGATATTGTCTTAAAAAATCCTGGGTGATATGAGCCGAACATGTATCGATTTGCAACACAGTGCATGCTTGCTCACATGCAATTGTTATTGAGAAAAACAAAGGCAAAAACATGCTACAATTAGTGCTTCCTTTATTGGGTCTAAAACTTTCAACCACTTGGAACTATGAACCCATAGGGTGTTGGTTGGAATGATCAGGCCTTTGGTTTCCGCCCATAAGGTTTGGGGTTCTAACCACCTCATAGGCACCTACACGATCAGTTTCCTGCCTTTCAAAGATTGTAGGGTTTGACGGAAGGCTCCAGTTTATAACTTGGGCTTATAAAGGGGCTCGAGGGATTTCTTGGTATCACCAAAAAACAAAAGTTGGAACTGTGAATCCTTAATTACGGTGTCATGAGATTTGAAATTATCACTCTTTTTTTTTTTCCTTTTACAGTGTCTAGCATACAGGTTAACAAGGATGCTGTTTCTGGGAACTGCTTCTCAAGATCAAAACGATATCCCTATGCTCGGATTTATGAGTATTCTAAATGTAAGTTGTGATTGCTGCATAAGTTAGTATAGGATATCTTCTCTCCCAATTCTAACATTCAGTTTTCATCTCCTGCGTAGTATACCTGCTACTATTCTCCTATGAGCTGCATCGACAACTCTGCTTGAACGATGAATCTCATCAAATTTCTGTCATGTACGTGGTTGAAAAATGCCTTACAGTATTAAGCACAAATACTATCTTTTGAATGCATTACTATGCATTTTCTTTTGGAGCTTGTTTATCACTCCTATTTCATAAATGTTCTATGTTTCTTATCGATGTATAATGGATTTCTTCTTACCTGATCATTTTTGTTTTCCGTTTGTTTTTATCATTTTGAAGCGCTGCAGATCCTGGAGTAGTGGAAACCAACATCATGCGTGAAGTTCCTTCCTTTCTTTCCCGATTGGCATTTATTGTCTTGAAACTCCTTGGACTTTTGCAATCACCGGAGAATGGAGTCGGTTCTATTCTTGATGCAGCCCTGGCCCCACCTGTAAGTTTGCCTCCCCCCAATTATTTCCATTTTCTTGGTGTAAATGTCATCTCTTGTGAGGTTTGTTGACTTCAGTTACTAAATTTTACTTAATTTAACTGAACGTGCTTAAATTCACATGCTTTCTCGTCTCGAGTTAATTTGGAGCGTTTAATGTATCATGCAACCCAAATTTCAGCTACTAGATGATGGAAATTGGAAAGAAATGATCTCTGATCCGATGAAAGATAAAAAGTTGTCAGCTTTTAGCCGACAAAATTACAATGGCTCAAATGAATACTTTTCATCATTCTGTTGAACTTGGGCTGCATTAGAACATCCTAGAAAAACAACTTCTTTCTTAATTTGGACCTCTTAAGTCTTAGTGCTTGTTTGGAAGGTGGGTTTGAGCCGGGTTCAAACAGTATTGTCTCTCCCAAAAATTTGAATTGAAAAAGTTCTGCTACAACATTTTCTCTCACAAAAAATTGAAAAAAAAAAAAAAATTATCTGGTTTGAACCCATGAATCAAACGGGCCCTTAGTTACTGGAAATGGAGAAATAGCTTCAGCCTTATCCCTCTCCTTAGAAATTGGCTATTGGCCTAATCTTATTCACTCAATCTCTGAAGACGGAATTAGAATTAGCTCTCCAACAGAAGTAAAATGTTTTTTTCATATAAATATATATATATATATATATTTATTTATTTATTTATGAGGTGGATTGTTTTGTTGTTTTTAGGATATATCTGGAGTCTACTTCTTTGGTGGAAAGGGTAGGACTATGAACTCTTCTGAGCTTTCATACAACGCTAGACTTGCGCAGGAACTTTGGACTACTACTTCTGATCTTCTTTTGCAATCACAGCTGGCTCTCAAGGAAACTTCAAATTCTTCATCAGATTCAAAGTCATGAGGAATTTCCTTTTTTTTTTTTTTTTTTTTTTTTCAAATGAGCAACTGGAAACTTGTATTAATTATGGAAATTACAAAAGGGGACAAGGGGTCCACCAAAGAATGAACACGAACAACAAACAACATAAAGCAAATATTGTAGAAGTGTTTTTGTAAGAATATTATGAACACTAGTGGATTATAACTTTCATCCAAGTCCTGTTCTGCAACTCAGTTCTAAACCAGTACATGCCATCCATTGCAAAAGATTAGTCCAACGAATCCTTGTACATTCTCAATTTCTCATTCTTTCTTCATTTCCTGTTAATGGAGATGTAAAGATAGTGGAATAACAATGATTTTCTGTAGCACTTTTCTTGGGATATATCAAGTGTTTGGATGATGTTTCAGAAATATTTTTGCTTTTCAACCAAGCTTTTAATTGAATTTCTAGAAAACCACTTTTAAATAGTCTTAGAAATATTTTTGCTTTTCAACCAAGCTTTTAATTGAATTTCTAGAAAACCACTTTTAAATAGTCTTTGAAATTTGTACCGTAGTTTCATGAAAGCATTATAAAATTCATTCCAACCCTTTTATTAAGCTCTTTTAAAAAATTAGTATTAAAAGCAAAAGAAAATGCTTTATCAAATGGGCCCATACCAAAATTTTTGGCTTCCTTTGAGAAGTGATAGAGGAATAATGTTTATTACTAGGAATCTTTGTAATTTGATGGTCTCCTGGACCCCCATTACGTTTCACCTATGCAGAATAAAAACAGAGAGCAAGGGGGTAGGAGGATTCATTTCAGTCAACTTCTTTGTAATTGTCAAAGACGAGCTTTAGGCTCTAGGGAGTGCAAGGGGTCGCTCGAACACCCCCATATCTTCCTGTAATCCCTTTGAAAATTGAAGTCTTAATCAATTCTTTCCAATTTCTCATTTTCTGTGTGAACTCTCAATTTATGAACCTAAGTCTTAACAAAGTGTATCAGAGCAATCCTTGGGATGGCACCGGCGAAGAGGGGGGGACGAGAAAACCGAAGGAGTCCGTAAGGAGATCCAACGCGATCCGGAGGTCTTCAAAGGGGAGCTGCAGGAGACATTTCGCAAGGATTTGCAAAAGATTCCAAAGCTGGAGAGGAGCGTGGAGCTAATGATAGGGAAGTTGGAAACCATATTTCATGAGAAGCTTTCACTATCTTTCTATTCTACCCATCAACGTAATGGCAAAAAGAATATCATTTTCCAAAAAACAATGGGTAAAAGTGAGCTAGACATGCATTGCAATTCTCAATTTGACAGGCTATATGACAAAAGGGAGATATCTTCAAACATATGTACCACAAAATGGCAAGCTATTGTATAATAATCCATGAAGAAGTTTTACAAAATAGAATTACCATAAAATTGCAAATACCAAGTGAAAGATAATTGCACAAAATGGCATGATCCAAGCAGGATCTCCAAATAAATTAGAGCTATCAAGGGGGCCAAATCACGTCAATGTTGTGGTAAACAAGGGACTGGGGAGTAAAAATCACTGGAATTAACATTCACCAAATCTCACCACTCTGGATAAGGCAGAATTGACTCAAGGGATTGCTATTGTCAAAATTTCGCATTTGAGCTGAGATTTCTCAGCAAAATAACATGGGTAACTGTTTCTTTTCTCAGTTTTCATTGTTCAACAACAAAAACACTATACATTCAATACCTTGTTAAATTCACTGGTTAAGCTATCCAAATCAATTACTTCCTTTTTATTTTCTTTCTTCATCTTGATTCTATGAAGTTCGGCGCTCAATTCTGCAATTTGTATTTGTATCTTCTGTCCATTATCTGGTAATCTTGAAACCATAGCCTGCAGATATTATTTGTTAACAAAATGTTAGTAAAATTCAAATCTATTAGCAAAGTACAATAATGATGACACAAAGACATTCATTTTGACAGAAGTGGACCATAAATGTCCCAACATTTTCATCTGCATGATGTGTATTGAAAACCAGAACAAGAGAAAGCATACCTTATTTGCAAGAGTGTTGGATAGCCGACTGATTCTCTCTTTAATCTCGGATTCCGTCAGTTTACCTTCACTATCTGGTGACGGTGTTTTCTTGTTCAATCTTATGTCCTTTGGATTGAAGGCATACCCAGCACTGTCAATAATGCAAAGAAAGTTCTTTACACATGAAATAAGACACTTCTTGACATTAAGATAACGTACTGAACACATCATGATCCATACGAACCATACCCATCAATACTTCGTTCAATTGAAACACTCGATGCCAAAGCACCCACAAATGCAGCCGCCGGCTTTCTGCATTCAACATAACAAGTAAAGATAAGTAACTGAGAAACGACCATAATGGCTACCATAATAATAGTTTAGAAACAAGCAACTCCGAGAATTTTTAACTTAGTTGGAATACATATCCTCTCCGGCAATGTTTAAGTGTATATTACTTGCTAATTAAATGATATGACCATAGAAAATTTCTAAAAATAAAAAATGATGCTACATCGCAAATATGAAGGGCAAGAAGTAATTGGGTTCACCTTCTCACTTCTTCCTCTCCCTGTACATCTTGTGCGGGCGCTTCCTTGGAGAAGAGTAAACTATGATGACTAACTCCGGCTATACCTTGACTCTCCAAAAATTCTATGTGGGCCTTCAGATCATCATCTCTATGCAAACGGAATAAACAATTAAAAATAATAGGAAATATCAAATAAAATGATGTAGAAGAGGTCATTTCCCTTGCACGGTGAACATCTATTAGCCAATGAACTACATGGAACTTGTAAGATATTGCACTTATATGATGATTGAAAAATATGGCTCTTTTGTCGCCCACAACTTGTATTAAGTACAAGTCTCAAGCTCCATATTAATATTAGCAGATAAGATTGCTTACACTATATGCTGGCGATCATGCTCTTCATGCAATTGCTGCTGAGTAAGGGAAACATCGAAACCCTGTGCTGGAAGACTGAAAAGCTCTTGAAGATCCTGGAAAGATTTTGTTCCAGAACTTAACACTATAAATACAGATAAGGATCAACAACTGTTTCAATATGAGTACATGACAAATAGAATCTTCATGAACTTTACATTTTGGCAAAAGTATCTGGTCTGTTCCTTGTGCTCAGTTGCCGTTCTGAATAAACCGCCCTTGTATATCTAAACCATGGATTATGAAATTTAAATATTGATCCGGGTATATTTGGCACTCATATCCTAACACCTAAATCAATAGACCGGCAAAAGTATAAAATAAAATCCTTAACCTGCTTTCTGTAAATCTTTTCTTCAACAGTCCCGCATGTCATTAATCTATATACAAGGACATCCTTTGTTTGCCCTATTCTATATGCACGATCAACACTTTGGTTGTCCGTACTGCAATGATAGAACCAAGTTAATAATTTTAACAAGAAATACACCAGTCACCCTTGTCAAGCAATTTCTACGCGCGTAAAAAATAGAGCTATTATCAACTGTCAAATATCTACAAAAATCTTCATTGACTTTCCCATAATGAGGATCTTCTAGTACATAAACAGAATTTCTACATTATGGCATTTCAAATTTAATATTTCAATCTGTCTACTCTAACATAGAACATAAATGGGCCAGGTCTTGAACACTTAAAACATATGCTTGCCATTTTCTCCAAACTACAAATGCAAGATATTTTGAGGCGCCAAGTTAATAATTTTACCATGACATGTGAAAAACAAAATAATAATTACTATGATGTTTTAGAGAGAACCTTGGGTTCCACGCAGGATCAACTACAATGACACGATCTGCTCTTGTGAGCGTTAGGCCCAAACCACCCACTTGAGATGTTAGGAGAAATATAGGAGGCCCACCACCATTTTGGAAATCCTAAAGATAAAAAGGATATGATAATCATTGATAATATAAGCACATAATTCCTTCTTCTGGAGTATTTATAATACTTACATCAACAATCTTTACTCTGTCAGTAGCTTTTGTGGTACCGTCAATGCGCATGTACTCATAGCCATTGGATACTAGTGAATCCTATTAATAAAAGGGTATTCAAAAAGTCATGGTAAATCATCATTTCAAGATTTAGTAACTAATATATATATAAAAGGAACAAGTTTACAATTACTCACCCCACCCTAAACCCTCCATCACAGGCTACAAAAAATATTTTGTAAATATATTTACCATTAAAAAAAAATCGAAGAGCCTGGCTCTCATCAGGAACTAGTGTGATTTATGTATTACTAGAAAATGATGATATTCTTAGATATGCCAGCCACCCTACAGCTAGAAGGGGCAGTCCCGTGAGATTGTCCTACGGGCTTGGATACTGCCCCATCTTCAGAGAGCTGAAAAGGTTCATCAAATAGGAAAAAACTCCCCATCCTGCTGTGTAACGCATCATGCCAATCTAGAATTCAAAAGTTCAGGCATTAAGAAATAATGATTGCCTCAAAAATAAAGCCATCAATACGTCTCTCAACAGAATTCCAAGAGAAATAGGAAGGGTCTCCTATCAAAATGGGGGAGCACCTTCTCCCTAAGTCCTAACTATTTTAGCTACTACTAGGCCAAGCAAAAGACTAGTCTGCAACAACCGCCAAGTTGATGCACGTGTTCATGCAGCTTTGGACAAACTTAAGAAGACAGAATGTGTCGCTTCGATTGAAACTTATGGTTGATTGAATAACGTTAGTTTCCATATAAGTTCATTTCAGAGCCTTGAGATGTATCAACAAAGTGCCTAAGTATTTTAATGCTAAAATTAATAGTAATTTAAATTTCTTGTTGTACTCAAAACCAAACTTCAAAACGGAAGCAACTTTAGGACCTACCTGAATGAGATTAAGCATCTTGCGAGTTTGGGAAAATATTAGAACATTATGCCCCTTTGGAATTAGGTCCTCCTGCGTAAGAACATTAAGAAAATTATCTAAAAGAAATGTAGAAATCAAATGAAATTTTAGAACATTAATGAAGGGCATCTTCCCTCACCAGTAAAGATAATATGAAGGATATTTTGCATGAGATGTTGACATGGTTCTCTTCAAAGCCATCTGTCTCAGCAGCATCTGCTATGTACATTGCTAATTTTTCTGCCACATTAATGTCTTCTGGCTTCAGCATTGAATCCATCTCTTCTAGTACATCTTCAGCAGCACGCTTTGTTAACAAAAGTGGATGATCACATATTTTCTTCAAGATCTGTTTCATGTCAAAACAACATTGAACATTAACTAGTCAAAAAGAGAGCTAATGAACATTCACTTTTTCCTAAATACCAGAATTACAGAAAAAGGATTGAAAAGGTAGTGATTGACTTGGAAATCAAAACCAACACATTCCTTGTTGTGCCCGTAGAAAATCAAAAGAAAATTCTACACCTTCTCATTATTACTTAACTTGACCAAATAAAAAACATTGGAATGAGAAGAAAATAATCCAAACTCTGTATAGCAGATTAAGGAGATGTTGAGAACCAAAATTAAAAGAGAAAACTCTACCGTTAGTGCAGCTAAAGGAGAGCCATCAAAAGCTGAAAGAACCAGCTCACTCTTTAAAAATGCTTCATAAAGTTGTCGCTACACCGTATGAAAGAAGAGTAAGTTACTGATTTATTTGAACTGTTAACAAGAAAGCCAATAAAACTTGTAAGTGACTGCAGCAGAACGAACCTGACAGGTAGTCAATCTTAGCCACACAATCATCTCATTCTTTTTAGAAAGCTTAGTATTTCCTTCATTCGCATCTTCATTGAATATTTCACTCTTCATTCGACGCAAGAAATAAGGCCGAATACATTCCCGAAGTTCCTGTGAAATGGGAAAACAAAAGTTTAATATTGGCATCATCCGACATCTAAGAAATCATAGCGGGTATTAGTGACAAAAAGAAGAACAAGCAAAACTAACCAAGTCATAGAAATAACTAGAAGAGTCCACAAATTTCAATTCAAATAAGATTCATTTAATTGGAAGATCATGCACGAAAGTTCCAGAAAAGTGAAACTTCTTGATTATGCAGTTGGTGCTTGTTGAGATAGCTAGTTGAAACTATTTGGATAATGGTGCTTAAACATAGAAATAAAACAAAATAAAATAAAAAGCAAAAGTATCATTAAGAGTAAAACAAATAGCTAACTAGTGATTCCAGGTATACTTTAAAGTAGTAATGTTGAAGGAACTAAATCTTGTTCGAGAAACTAATGTATGAACATAGAAAAATGGAACGAGTTATATGCCTCTAAGGTTCTCAATCACATAATTAATCTTGTTCTAGAAACTAATGTATAAACTAGTATGAACATATAAATTGTGTAACACTCTTTGTATGTTACTTGATAATGTTAATTGTTACTTTTAGGAACTGTCAAGATGACGTCAACCAATTGGAGGTTAGCCATTGTCATTTCAAATTGCAGTTATAAGAAAGATATGAAAATTCAAGACAGTAACAATAAGGCAATGAAATGACAGTGTATTTGATTGGCAGTTTAGTAATTACTATTGCTACTGATAAACTTGCATGTTAACAAAATATTGGAAATATGAGACATACAATGTAGATAAGGGGGAAAAAAAGAAAAAAGGAAAAGAAAAGAAAAGCAAAAATTTGGGGTTCTTAACATCATAGTATATATTTGAAATTGACAAAAATAAAATATGTTCAATATCAAACATATAATGTTATTACTTTTGCAACTTCTGAACCAATACGCCTTTCCCTCTCTGAAGCATTTTTATCATTCCCACGAAGAATAGCATTCTCAAATCTTTCCTTAAACCTGAGAAAACCCACGAAGAATCAAATTATATTAAGCACAAACATACTCGAGCCAAATTGAGAAGAGTGAAGATTTTACCCTTGCTTATCACCAAGAAGTTCAGGGCAACAAAAGTTGAACAATGCCCATAACTCCTGTTTCAAAAGTAAAAAGATGTACAACATCATAATCTATATTCGCAATAAAATTTGTCCACGAATAATAAAAAAAAAAAAGAGAAAAAAAAAGAAAGACAAACAGGAAATCCAGTTAAAGCCATACACATACCTTGAGATTGTTTTGAATTGGTGTGCCACTGATTATTATACGATGGGCACTTGGTATCACAAGCAAACTTTTGGCTCTTTGGGTACTAGGATTCTTTATTAGGTGCCCCTATATTAGTGAAGAATTCAATCAAAAGTAAGTATGACATAAAGAACAAGAAGAGGTCATGCCAAATGGATAAGTGTGCACTAGGCAATCAGTATACAATGACAAAAACTTCAACTGAACTTCTGGTTGAATTGACAAATGACAACCAAGTTTTACAAGAGTATCAATTGATTGATGGGTATAAACAGGATTGGGATTAGTCCATATGAAAAAAAATGAAGAAACCAAAATTGTTCTTACTAAACTAAGAAGCCATTTTGTTGACGAGTAGAAGACATTTATTAGACAGGGATCTAGGGAGTCAAAATACGGTGAGATGAAAACTCTGGCACAAAATGAGTCCACATTTTGAATGAAAGTATATTGAGAAGACCCATCATTGTTAAATGATTTTCAGAAGGTCTCTCATTACACTAAGTAGACCAATATACTTAAATCACTCAAAAAAGTCTAGCAAAATTATACTTACTTCATCAAGAATCATATAATCCCATGTTACATTATCCTCACTTTCATCATCATCATCAAAGTAATTGTATCTTTTATCTCCCTGTAAAGATTTTGTGTTTGCCCGCACAATATCATAAGTTGTAAGAAGAATGCCTTTGTCCTGCAAGGAATAGGAAAAACGTCAATCCCAAATATATGTTGAATGACCACAGAAAATGATTTCTACAAAGCGAATCAAAAGCACTAACATCAAACTCAGTTTGAGCTCAAAGCAACGGAGATGCTTACTCTATGAAATGCCAAGGCATAATATTCTTCATCCTAAATTTAACCTGAGATTTTAAATTTAAGTTCACTCTACTGTAACAAGGCAAAGAAGACACATCTAATACCTGAAGTACATATTGAAGCTCATATTGCCGAGTTTTTGCACAAGTTCCAAAGTATCTGCAACAAGTAAGTCGTCACTTTCCTAGTAACGAAAACAACATAATTCTTTTGTTCATAAAAGAAAAAAAGGAAAGAAGAGAGGAAGGAGAGGTAGAATAAGAAGCAGTCTCACTCTCTCGTCTTATCAGATAGACCAACAACTGATAACTCTTTGATCCAATGAGAAAGTAATGTTTTGGGGGCTACAATCAATGCCCTCTTAATCAAACGTGAATGAAATAGTCCAGCTAAAAATCCACAAATCTGCATAAGAAACAAACTGATCATCAAAAATTCATTCAAAAGCATCTCAAACTACTCTGATGCGCTATGACTTCATTTCCTTACCTGCATTGTTTTGCCTAAACCCATGTCATCCCCCAGAATTCCACCTTTACCTTGACAATGAAGAGACCATAGCCACTTAAGACCATCACGTTGATGAGGATACAACATTTTTGCAACATCACCATGCAAGTTGTATGTATAGTTTGAACCAGGCAGAGTTATAGAACTATCATCTTTGAAGATGTCGTCACCATTAGAAACATCACGCTCCTTCAACATTTTACCTTTCCTTCCTACTTCCTTAGCAATTTTGTTGCCACTCAACACGACACAATCATCTTCATCACTGTCTTCTCTTTCTCCAAACTGATACGTGGAGGATTTTCCCAATCTAACTAATTTCTTATCAATCCTTGAAAATTCACTTTTCTTATATTCATCATGTTTCGCAGTCACATGCTTCCTTCCCACATGATTACCACCCTTCTGCTCACTATGCCTGCTATCCTCCACTTCCTTAACATGAGAGACAAAAGAATGTTTAGGCATGAAATTGCCACCCACATTACTGTGATCAGTTTTGCTGGACACCTCACTCTCATGCTCATAGTGGAGGCCTCTATCCTTTACATACTCGCAATCCACTCTCTCAGTACAACTTTTATCATTCTTAGCAGCATCTGACGAGGAGTCAGATGCATCAGATGCAAGTGAAAATGAAGACTCTGCACTTGCATACTCAGGCAGATCAACCTTCTTCTCCTCATCAATCTCTTTATTATACTTAAACACAGGCAAAGAACCTTCAAATGTGTTCGTTTTATTTATGTCCTTTCTCTTCTCAATCGACAGAAACTCAAGCCTTGCACCCAAATCATTGAGTATATCCCTAATTTCATTATCTCCGCCATTTTTATCACTGTCATTTACAACTCGGGGATGTGGAGGTGGTGGTGACTCAAAATCAGCAATATCAGAAAAAGTAGGCTCATCAGGCACCAATATTTCCTCCGGACTTTCCTTATTAACCTGAGATGAGAGTTTGCAGAGACGGCGCCTGCCCTTAATTTTAACCTTTGTAGACTTTTCTTGTTTAAAAATATCGTTAATTTCATTATCTCCACCATTTTTACCATTGTCATTTACATCCTGGGGAGGTGGAGGTGGGGGTGGCGGTGGTGGTGACGACTCAAAATAAGTAATATCAGAAAAAGTAGGCTCATCAGGCACCGATATTTTCTGCAGACTTTCTTTGTCAACCTGAGATGAGAGTTTGCAGAGACGGCGCCTATCCTCAATCTTAACCTTTATAGGCTTTTCTTGTTCTAGAATTCATTCAAAGAGTAAAAAAAACAAAAAAAAGTATGTATTAATGAGTAATAACCCAGTAAGAGAACACTGCGAGATTTAACTCATAACAAATACTTATATCATAAAAATAAATAAATAATAAAACATTTTTATCAAAATTCTTTTTGGGCTTCTCTTGTTATATATAACAATTCATTCAAAGAAAAAAAAAAGTAATAATAACCCGTAAGAAAAGCATTGTGAGATCTAGCTCATATATCCTGACATTATAAGAAAAATATATACATTTGTCTTAAAGTTCCTTTTGGGCTTGTCCTGTTCCAGGATTCATTAAAATTAAATAAAATAACCTGGTAAACGATCATTGCGAGGTTTAGCTCATAAACTCTGACGGTAACATCAACAAACAAAAATACATTCATTTTCAAAAAACCCTTTTGGCTTTTCTTGTTCTAGACTAGAATTCATTCAATATATATACATGTGTACACACACACACATGTGTGTGTGTGTTTGTGTGTGTGATGTACGACTATTTGAATAAAGAAAAAAACTGATAAGAGAGCGTTGCGAGGTTTTTTCTTAACTCCTCACACGAACAAAAACAAACAAAAATGCATTCTTTCGCGCATAAATACAAGGAAAAGACAATCTTGAGAGATTGCGTACCAGGAGGAGTATCGAAATCGGCGAACACAGAGAAACTGGGAACATCGACAACACTATCTCCAGACACAGCTTCGCTCAGGCCAATTCCACCATCGATCTTCATCTTCAATCGCGATTTCTCATCCTCGGAATCCTCAAAATCCCCATCTAAATCCAAACACAGCAACCCAACAATAATCAATCCCAATCCCTCGTTTCACAGTTTCAAAACCAAAATCAACACCAAAAACCAAAAAGTAACAACAATCCTACTCAAAAAAAAAAAAAAAACAGTAGAAGCTGCGATCAACAATTGATCAATCAATTCTAATCCGATACCTCAAATTCCCAAAACAGAAAAAAAAAAAAAAAAAAAAGAGGATAAAGTCGAAATTGATGAAGGATTACCAGAGGGTTTGGGTTTGGGAGGAGCGGAAAGGTCTTGAAGGAAGCGATAATGGCTGTCGTTAAGGCTCCGAGGAGGTCGCTTGACGGTGCTCTGCTTCTCCGCCATTTTCGACTGCTTCGTGAGCTTGAGAAAAGAAAGGAGAAGTGAGGTTTTGAAGAAATGAATCAATCAATTATTAAATTGAATATATTCGACTTCCCGATGTAATTTTTCCCGCTCCTCTGCGTCTCATTTGAATTTTTTATTTGTGTTTTAAATTGAATTTTGGCTTTTTTTTTTTGCTTCAAAAATTTTATCAATTGTTTATTTGATTGATTTTGCTTTGTGCATCCAGGATTTTTTTTTTTGTTTTAATTTCCTTTTTTTTTAAATCAGGATTTTAATTTCCTATTAAATTTATATATTTTTTTAAACAAGTGATCTTCTTATGCTTATGAAAAACTTTTTTATTTACATTAATTTTTTATTTGTGAACATCAAATTAAATATCTTATCCATATTTTTTATTATATTATTTTTTATAACAATAAGGGTCTTTTAGGTTCATGCGTTCAAACTAGTGATTTTTTATTTAGGCATTAGAAATTCAATTTTTCTGTGAGATAAAAATACTGTAGTAAAATCAAACTATGTGTTTAAACTCAACAAACAAACGAGCCCCAAGTGCTTTTAACTTTTTCACCCAAATAAATGTAAAAGTTCTTCTTAGATATAAAAGCACTTTTTCAGACATTATACAAACACTAATAAAAAAAAATTAACTTATGTTTATCTTCTTTTATTACTTAAAAGTACAAACACAGACTATCCCAAACAGGCCCGTAATATGAGTAGGATAGACCCTTTTATGACTTATGATTTTATGAATTTTAGTTATGTTGTCTAATTTTAAATGTTTTTTTAATGAATGAAAAATATTCTGATTAAAAAAAATCAATCCAAGTTTTTTAAAACCTTAAATAACCAAACCAATGCGCATTTATCGAATTGGATTGAATTGGATGACCGATGACATGCTATTTATGGATTAGCTTGGATGCGAATTTCTTAATTCTGCAAAATATGAGGATGGTTTAAGCTTAAAAATGAGGTTTGGATTAGATGAACATTCCTAATTTAGGTTATTAAAACTAGTATTTTTTATTTTTTTATTTTTGCAAAATCAAAACTAGCAGTTGACTAGACTAATAAAATGTATCAATTTTGAGCTATTTTGTAGAAAGGGCCAAAGCTTGTACAAACAAAAATGGAAATGGTCATTTTGTCTATCGGTAAATCAATAATAAACAGGTTTATTAATGATTGATTTAGTGGTGTATTATTAGTTGACTTAGTGATTTATTACTGATTGATCATATCAATTCGTGATTAATCAATTTCAGTTAATAATTTTTGACTTTATCATTGATAAACTATTGGTAAAACATTGATAAATGGGTCTATTAATTACACACTATGGTATATTAGTGATTGACCATGGTCAAATGCCTAAAAAAATAAAAGTTCATTTACCCAAAAAAAAAAAAAGTTCGAGCATTTATTTAAAAGATGTAGTTAAAATCGATCATCCACATAATTCAAATTGAAATGTATAATAGTGAGTACATAAGAGTTGAGATCAGAGTTAATATCCTTAAAATTATTCTTATAAAATTCATAAACATATATAAATATATGTATAGTTTAGATTAACGAATTAGAAAATGCTCAAACCAATTCATGACCTACATTTTGGAAAATGCTAACTTGTTATTAATCTAAAATTCTCTAAATCCAACCCAATCTAGCTCATTGATTTGAATTGAGTGGAATGAACAGATTTACGAATTAGATGAACACCCTAATTGAAAAGGAGCCCACGATTTATACAATCTTAAGGGGTTATTCACTTTGTAGATTACACTCGAGTAACCCCAACTCAAGTGTGAAATTGGGCCATCAATTCATGCCCCTAACTCCGTCACTGTTTTTTTTTTTTTAATTGTACTTATCAAGATTACTATTTTTTAAAATAGTTTGTGACTTATTTAACAAGCCATGAATAAATTTGATACACATTTTTTGCATCTATGTGTATATGTGTTTGCGGGTTCGAATTGTGTGCTTGAAAGCTTGAGGATCTGTATTCCTAGTACTCTTGCTTTTATTTCATGGTTCGAATCATGTAAGAGGGATTCGTGTCATGATTCGAATTATAGTTCGTGACTCGCAACAGTATTTTCTCTCACAAAAAATACACGTGAAACGAAAATAATTTTGAATCACGGTTCTAAATTCACGAACCAAACGTAATGGATTTTTCTAAAACTTATGATCAAGATTTATATTAATTCATGAATTGCATGATCATGTAAATAAATACCATGGGTAGAGATCAAATGTAATTCTGCTAATTGTTGGATAGTTTTGTGGTATAAGGAAAGCATCAATATTGTAGTTTACCTATTAATTGACTCATTGAGTGTTTACATATACGAACATGTACGCATAAATTTTAGTTGGAAACTTCGAATTTGAAGGGAAAAAAAGATATTTATCTCTCATCATACAAAATCGTGAGTCTCATTATGTTAAGTTTTACCTACCTACCTAGTAGAATACAATTTGCATGTTTAGCGGAGTTTGAACCTCATCGAGATAAATAAAAGTGCTCGTTTAAAGGAAATTTTATTTGTGTTTCTTTTTGCCAAGTCATCATTGTTGTACAATATCGAGAGGGGTTGCAAAATGCAAGCGGAGGAGTATTGAAACTTTTGAGCTTTTCTTTAAGTGGTAAAAAACATTTTTTTTTAAAACTACATGTACGAACTATTATTTTAGCTATTAAAATTTTTTAACAGTCTAATCTACAAGTGCCCTCAATAAAAATTTACAACGATCAAACTATTAGAAATTAATTTAATGTTTAAAATAACCGTTTCCACCAGCAATAATATATGCATATATATACACACACCCACACACACATACCCTTTAAAAGCTCAAAACATATGAGTGTTCAGTTTTAGATTTCTACAGTTAAAAATTCTCAGAAAATGTTACATCTCAACTCGAATTGAAAACTCAAATTTGTAAAGTGAATGAGGCCGAATTTTTCAATGAAGATAACTAACTGAAATCGAAAACAAGAAAAAGAGCCCCATCTCTATATAAGAAATAGTTGATGGATGAGACCCACATGCTATCTCATGTAGTGTTGGGGTTAACTGAGCCTCCTAACAACACACAAACAAAAAGAGAGAAATGATAGGAAAATAAATTTATTTGAAAGCTAATAATTTATTTCAAAAAGAGAGATTCAACTATATCATATTGAATATTACATAAGCTTCAATAATTCATGGATATATAGGCTGGAGAGCATTGAAGCTGCGTATTGCAGATTACCACATTCCCCCACCCAAATTATAAAAATTTCATTTTAATCCCTTTTTTTTCTGAAAAGTTCAGTTATTTCCTAGTTATAAAAAAATTAGAATTTGAATGACCATTAAATTAAACAACATGGGTAGATTGCGGTTTAAATTCCATGTGGTTTCCATATGATAATTATGTCTACATTTAATAATTGAAATATACAATTAAATGTTCTCCATTGAAAAAGAAAAACCGTTTAAATAATAAGAAGCTTCTTTGATAGGCTTTAAAAAAAAATGAACTATCTGAAATTTTTTATTTTTAGCCGTTAAATCTAATGAAAATCACATCAGAATAGAAAAATATATATAACATACAGTTTTTAATAGAGCCGGTAATATGGGTCACAATACGACTCGAAAACGACACGAATTTTCACCGGTTAGGGTTAAGAAAAAAGAGGTTCGGATCAGAAATGGATCGACCTAAAATTGACACGAAAAACACGGGTCAATTTCAGATTGGACCCGGCTAACCCGAACACGACACGAAACTCGTAAAAAACTAAAATATATATTTATCATTACATATTTTAGATTTTATTATGCACTCATGATATCGTGATAGTTATACTCAAAATCTTATACTATTATTTGCTTAATTTTGATGGATGTTATTGTATTTTAGTGTGTTATGCATTTTAAGTTATTTCTAATATGTAAAAAAACTAAAGAAAAGTATATAATTTTTTGTGTCAATTTCGTGTTGTGTCTTGTCAACTCGTAAAGTTATCGTGTCGTGTTTGTGTTGTGATTTTTAAAAAAATTTCGTGACACAGGTCGTGTTCGGGTTGATTGTAAATTTATGAAGAAACGATCAAAACACGACATGAACATTACATGTGACACGAATTGTCACCCTTAATTTTTAATACAAATTTAACAACTGAAAGTAAAAAACCATTAGGAGGTTTTTTGAACCGTGAGAAATTTAAAATATACATATATATATATATATATATGCGTGTGTGATAAGTGTACTTATATATGTAATGATCAAGAGAGAGAGGGGTGTAGTTATATATATAGTAGTTTTATGGGCAACACGATGCAATTATAAGGACACCACATATGAGCCTATGACATACAACGTGTTTGCCATCTTTTTTGAGTTTGTTAAAATTAACATTTGATATCTCAGCAAATCTGGCCGGCCTCAAACTAGACAGCTTTGCGCAGATTGTGGCTTTCTATGAGATTCTTGGATATTCTTTATCCTCCAAAAACAATTAACAAATTAATGATAGCTTTCTTCTTACTATTAGAATAGTACATGCAGCTAAGTTTTAAATGGAGCTTGAGCTTGACTTTGGGTGTGGGCCCATGTACAGCAAGTTTGCATCTTCCTTTTGTTGCTTTAAAGATTTCTTCGGGAAAAAATTGAATTATTGGTAGTATCCGTTTAATTAGTGTATTCGTGTCATGATTTAAATCGTAATTCATGATTTGTTACAATATTTTTTTTTATAAAAAATACACGTAAATCAAGAATGATTCTGAATCTATGAACAAAACGTCCACAGTTTTTCAACTGTTGAATTTATATAAGAAATTGTTTATTTTAATATACTTTTTTTTTATTTTAATATGATTTTAGATAGATTTAGTGATAAAAAATGTGCACAATCAATAGGAGGTATAAAAAGACCATTGTTATTTATCATTTCTGATTTACGTGTTTCGATCACTTTAGAAAACTGCAGACCAA